TTTCACGGTTAAGACTGCTGTAACTCGGAGAATACGCGCGCGTCTACTGCATCAATTTGTGTCGTTTTTTTTCCTTCGTCTTAAATTTACATACGATGTGAATTCCTATAATCAAACCACAACCCTAGCCCCAATAACTGGAAGGGGCTTTCAAAAGTCATCATGACATCAAAACCATATGTGACAAAGTCAAAATGAATCTGTGTTCAGGGATGCCGGAGCCTTATTCTATAGCGGTTTCGAACCCGTGGACCTTTCTGCCTCTTGGCAGCCAAGCCCGCGCCTGGCTGCGAGTCCTATCTAGGTCTTGCAGCCGGGCTCTGTCTTGCCAGAGCCTGGCCGCCGGAGACTTTGGGCCCATGACATTGCCAAACAATGCCAGACATAGAAACTGTGATAAATACCTACTACTTCGGAGGGGGCTAGCAGACGGAAACTGCCAGACAAAGCAATCTGCCCACGTGATTCTGTTAGCCTGTTAGCCAATTTCTTTTCTTTCAGCCAGCCTTCTTGCTAACCAAGACTTGGCAGCCTCATGAACCCAATGAGTTTCCCAGTTTATGTGCTCAGGGAGTCGTGACAGTTGTCTCCAAAACAGATCAGACCCCAAGAACAATCATGAATCGTCACGAAACATATGACGGCCAAATTCTTTTGGGTTTGCCGGTAAACTGCAAAGCTTGACACAACCATAAGTTGACACAAGGTCGCGGCAAAAAACCATTTGACATTTGCCAAAAAAGGCTAATACGTGCAAAATTTGAACACCTGACTCCCAAAAACTAACACCTGGTCTTAAAAAATCTTCCTTCTTAGTGGTGGTAGTAGTAGTAGTAGTGGTGGTGGTAGTAGTGGTAGTAGTGGTAGTAGTAGAAGAAGGAGGAGTAGCAGTAGTCGTAGTCGTAGTCGTAGTAAGCTACCCCTTTGAAGCCCCCTTGAAACCCCCCCTGAAGCCCCCCTTGAAGCCCCCCTTGAACTCCCCTTCAAGCACCTCTTCGACGAAGGGGGTGGGCCCGCCCTCCCTTTCCCGCAATCCTGCCATTCCGTTACACACTTGCAAAAGAATTCCTTTTTGTCAAAGCTGCGCCATTTTTCGCAAAAAAGGTCACTGCAGCAATTTCATTTTCGGGGCCGTAAACACATTGGCTTTTTGGACTTCAAGAAGTGGTCCTCTCCAGTACCAACTGACGCCTCTTACGACCGTGACTCCAGCATGATGCCGCGAGTGCGATCTAGAACTGACTGTGACTTTGACAGGTCCAGTGGGTGCGATCTCGATTGCTCTTAGCTTTAACAAGATGGATCGAAACCAGTATGTTGCATGGAGGAGAGCGGCGTTGCCAGTTCAGCAGCATGTAACTAATGCACTGGGCTAACTGCTCCGCGAGCCGGATGGTTAGGCTCCGAGCAACACTGTCAAAGGTGCGTTCAATAGCGTCGGAGCATCCGCGCAGCCAGAGCTCAGCAGCAATAAATGACCTCGACATCTTGTCCTGAAACGGTTGAAGTGTGATCGTGAGGATAGCAGGCTTTGGAAACACGGGACCTCTTTCATCAACAGAACAGAAAGCGAAAGATTGTCACGAGCAAAAAAAGGTAGAAGGGCTAGTTTTGGGTTCATGTTTGGCACCTGAAATTGATATGATTTTGGGAAACGGAGTGGGTCTCCTTGTTCGAGGCCGTTAGTGCGAACTCGGTGTGGGTTTGATGCGTTTCTACATTGGAACAGCGCAGCTGCAGAGGTGCTTGGGTAAGCTTAAAACTGGACCTCTAAGGAGGCACCGGATTCAATCTGTTGAGGGTGCAGTTTTGGACCTCCGTGCAATGGAAACGTGTTTAAAAAGGGATCAGAAAGTAGACCCCCTTGACATAAAAAGTGGCGCCCCCTGGAGGGTCCAGTTTTTGGCCCCTTCATTGTGGCAAATCTGTTGAAGCGATTGTTTCAAGTTGAAGCTGAGACCAGCAACAGCTGCGAGTCGAAGCTTGAACTGGGGAGGCTCATTTTTGCGTGTCGTTTTGATGACCAAAAAAGGTCCCTTCTTTGTCATACTGTTTTGCTTCAATTTCCATAGGCTTGAGGCCCTCGTGGCCTGCCTCGAAGCCTGCCTCGAAGCTTGCCCTGAGGTGTTTTGTTCTAATTTCCATGGTCTCGCGACACTTGGAGTCTCCAAAAATGAGATGCCGCTTTTCACTTTGGACAGAGCCATTCCGAGGCCATTTTCAATCTCTATTTTAACAGCAGGCAAAACGTTTCGTTTCGTCTGGTGGCTTGATTGTTTGCCGCTAAAAGAAGGCCCATTAGCTTTTTTCCAATCTTAGGTGATTGCTTGAAGTGTTTCTTGCTCCTGCGGAGTTTGTCGGTTTTCGCACAGGTGCCGGTTTCCATTTGAATGATTGTGTTAAAGACTTTACTGCCAAGACCTAAACAATTCCGAACAACATAGTGGCAACACGCTCTTTAGCTTCAGGCGGGGCTGGAGACCTTCAATTAGCAACCGTCTTCCCCGAGATCCTGCTATTCCGTTGGACTTCCAAAAGCACTGCTGTGTGTTAAAGCTGCGCCAGTTTTGGCAAAAAAAGCTCACTGCAGCAATCTCATTTTCAGGTGCTGTCTTCTTGAAGCTTTCCAGCCTCGCCTGGAGCCAAAGAGCATATTACCCATCTTTCCAAAGCACCATGTTGTTCGGAATTGTTTAGTTCTTGTTGTTGCAGGCTTTCGCCGCATGGCATGGGTGAGGTTCTGATTCCGCTGCGGCATTGCCAGCGGAATGCCGTTTACTTTAAACAGTTGATCGTTTTGTCATGATTAGGCATCGCACTGCTCAGTTTCGTTTCAGTCTCTTGATCCGTTGTTCTTTTAGGCTCCCCTCCTTCGCCCTCCTACACTTCTAACGCGGCAGCTTTGCGGGTCGGATAGTGTATGTCGCCCGGAGTTCAATATCATTCCCCTAAACAAGAAAACAGAGCAGAGCCGAGATGTGGGAAGGTATATTGAAGGTTTTCTTAGTTTGCCATCGTTTCGATATCGTGTTAATTACATTGGGTACTTGAATTAAAACATAGCACGGAGTAGTGGAGTAGCGCGGAGTAGCGAAGGATTGGTGAATGTTGCATGGGTGGAGCTGCATCGCAATCGGCACATTCGAGCTAGGGAACGGAGACTGATACCACATGTGCTTTCAGATTCCGTTTCTCGGGCCGGAAAGTCAACAAAAATTTGCATGTGCCCAAGCAGATTCTTCTTCCATCCCGTTTAAAATTTATTATTTTAATTAACAAGTACAACGGGATTGACTGAAAAGATCATGATTCATGTTCTTTCTGGGCTGAATCTTCGGTAAGAGTCTAGAGGGGCAAGGGGAGCCAACAAATGTTGTCACAGGCTTTCAAAGCAAGGCATGGGTAAGGTGCTCATTCCGCTGCGGCATTCCTGGCGGGATGCCTTTTTCTGGTTTTGCCGTAGGCAGTTGATCGTTTTTTCATGATTAGGCGTCGCAGTGCTCAGTTTTGTTTTATTCATATATGTTTTTATTTTTTTGCATTTTTTATTCACATTTTTGTTATTTTTCCTATTTTTTGAATTTCTTTTTGAATTAACTAATAATGTTTTTCAATTTTTTTTCATTTTCATTTTTTTTATTTTTTTAATATTAAAGTTTTCAAATGCAAGGTTTCCAAATAATTAGATGCTTTATTAAACCTTTATTAAAAAACAACATCCAAACAATTTTTCAAGGGTGTACCTCATGAGTGGCTCAGTTACTCAATAATATGAATGTTTGGATGGTACCCTATTGTGGCCAACAACTTTTTGGGGTTGAAAAAAACCAAAAACCTTCTCCACTTTTCTTTGAGTAAAGCTGGTCCATTTACTTTAGAAAACCATATTTGTGTTAAAGCTTTCAAATGCAAGGTTTTCCAAATAATTAGATGCCTTTCTAAACCCTGCTTAAAAAACAGCATCCAAACAATTTTTCAAGGGGGTACCTCATGAGTGGCTCACTTACTCAACAATATGAATGTTTGGATGGTACTCTATTGTGCCCAACAACTTTTGGGGTTGAAAAAAACAAAACCTTTGAAAATAAATTGAAAGTAAATTGAAAGTAAATTGAAAGTAAATTGAAATCAATTGAAAATAAATTGAAATCCATTGAAAATAAATTGAAATCAATTGAAAGTAAATTGAAACCAATTGAACGTATATAAATTGAAGTCAATTGAAAGTAAATTGAAATCAATTGAAAGTAAATTGAAATCAGTTAAAAGTAAATTGAAATCAATTGAAAATCAGTTGAAACTAAATTGATTTCAATTGAAAGTAAATTGAAATAAATTAAAAATCAATTGAAATCAATTGAAAATCAATTGAAAATCAATTGAAAGTAAATTCAAGTCAATTGAAAGTAAATTGATTTCAATTGAAATCTTTACTTAAGTTGACTATCCAAAAAAAATTGTTGAGGGGGGGTCGCAAAAAACTGCGAATTATTCAGTATACTAAATTACTTTGAGGGGGGGGCCCCCTCACACTAATCAGTTACCAACATTATTTAAGGAACGATTTTTTTTGACTAAACTGGCTCGCCTGTCAATACCAAATTGGCGTCAAAGAAAGGAAACGCGACGCTTTGCTATTGGGGTTGTATGTTGGGTTGCTTTGGGTGTGAATTTATTTTTTTTGTGGGAGTTGGCCTCTAAATGCGAATGTGCAGTTTTCGTCCATATATAGCAACAGACAGCAAATGATGTATTTGCCAAAATCATAAATTTTCAAACACTTTGCATGCGCAAAGTGAGTGGGTTAGTGGGAAAAAATGCATATATTTGATATGGTGATGATTGGAAAGGATTGGGTTGGGAATTAAAAAAACGAACACCAGCAAAGGGTGAGAATCGCGACAATGGTATGAAAATATGATTTTCGATTTTCACCAAATGAAATTGAACCAAAAAACACTTGCATCAACCGTTTGCAATGCGAACTTGCGAGCAGCATGTGCCCAAAAACAACGACATGTTTGAACATGTCCCTTGAAACTTTTGGCCGCTCAAGAACTCAGCTGACCGACCAGAGCAAACATGGCGCTGTGCGTGCAGGCCACTTGTTGTTTTTCTTGAAAAAACATGAGTACATGCAACATGTTTGCCTGACCCGGCAACACATGCTCGCGAGGTTTCGCAATTAAATATATCCCCCGTGCAAATTGCATTCGGGAAAGCAGGCGCAGTGAATAAACGATGTGCAACATGTCTTTTTTTTTGTGAGCGTTTGTTTCGTGTCGTTGCTGCAGGGGGCACAATGCCAGTGATTTTGAGGCCACTTGTGCAAACATTGTTACGTTTCATGGAATGTTTTGTGGGTGATTGCAGGATCATTGCAAATGATTTTTGTGCTGCGAGGACCGGACGTGATGAATTGGTCAATGCAGGTGCACCTGGCAATAACAAATTGGTTTATAGTTTAACAGTACATAGATGAAACATTTATGTTGGGCATGTTTTTTTTCAGTGGAACCTAGAACCCCAAAAGTTTCCGTGAATTTTGCGGTATGGCAAATTTCACGGAATCATGGCATCTTCCTGTATTTTTTTCGTTATTTCAAATTTTGTTTCATTTACATGCAATGTTGATGTTTACCACCGCAAAATGTACAGCTGCTTCAATTTTGGTTTTTGCAAGGCATATTTTTTGCGGCCGCAACAATCCCCCAAAACATTTTTTGGCGGTAGGCCCTTCGGCGCCAACCACAACTTTTACAGGAGGAGCACCATGGGGACAAATCATTTTTGAGAAAGGTCAAGGCCTCGACAGTCAAACACAGCTGCAATGATACGGGTTGAATGAAACTGATACACAATTCATTATTATGATAACGTAGTCCAAACAAAAAAATGTCCTTGTAAAAATCATTTGAGTCAATCGTGTTTAAATTTTCGTTCCCAAGGATTCAATGGGTTGCTTGGCCAGTTCCTGTGCAACATCAGACTGCTGCAGGAATGACCTCGTTGATGGTTGCAATAGCTTGTGCGTCGAGATGGCGCAAATGCGCCTCAAATCGTTGCAGGCAAGGTCAACCAGAACAATGATAAGGGCATGATGGAAGAAAACATATGGACATTGTGATATGAGAACATTCTACAGGTTTGGTAAACAGGTGATGTTGTGGTTTTGCCTCTACAAAACTTTATTATTGTTTGACGAAGGTTGACACATCTCGATGTTCTAGATGTAGTGCATTTGGATGGATGTCGGATTTGTTTGTGGGTGGAACACTGGAAATTGTTGTTTTCTCTTGATACGATGATCTGAGCTGCGGAATCTGTTGGACCTTTCACATTTGCAAAGTCATTGCCCATTTTAAAAGTTGTTTTCATACAGAATTACAACGAAATTTAAACGCGCATTCCGAACAGGCTTGTAGAGCAACCGTTTAAATCGCAACGGGCAGCAACAGAGTTGTGATACATTGACACGCTTCCGTTAGACACTACATTCACCCCTCTTCAAGTCTTAGGGTCAGCGATTCCGTTGCGAGGTCTGCAAGGTGCAAAGATTCGTCGAAAACCGATGCCAATTCGACCTATGTCAAGGCCGAGACTCCAAGACAAAATTAAAAAATCGGCACGTTTTTCCAACCTTCACTCCAATTCAAGCCTTTGAATGGTGTGAATTCTGGAGACATTCATGTTGCCTCATCGAGCAATTTTTTTTTTGGTCTGTCAGTTCCTTGCATACGAAACTTTGAGACGGTCTCTCCTCCAACCTCTAACCTATTGACAAGGTGTGTGTTGGCCAGATTCGTTGGGCTGGTGATTGTGGTTGCGTGGTCTCTCTGACTGGTGTGGCTTGGTTTGCATCACTTGGATGGTTTGCATGCGGAAAAGGCTTTATCCATCAAATGAGTTGCCTTTTGAAAGACACGGTGTTGTGGTATTGGACAGTCGAGTGTAGATTTCAGTGATGTGATAAGTTTCGTTCTCTTTGTATCTCTTTTTCATGTAGCAACGAGTAACAACGTAGCCTCATGATGCATACTGTAAGCATGTAGCGATCCGCTATGGCGTTTGGCTGCTGGAAGCCATGCTTCAAGGTTGATGACTACAGCTCCGGTTTGCCGGACCAATTCCTGGCATTCCTGGACTCAGCTCAGGTGAAATGCGGATGAGATTCAACATTTAGCTTGTGACATTAGTAAAGAGACTCTATGATTCCAACAAGGTACAGTAATCGGCAATTATCATTATTCAGAGGTTCCCCAAAGTTCGGGTAAATTCTTCGTCCGCAATTTGAAGGCGGAAGCCTATCAGCAAGTTCTATATCCAGCAGCTTTTGGAGCAGGTTTGGTTCCTGGCACAAAACGATTTTGCAGCTGGCCAGCACGAACATTCAGAAGTGAAAGCAGACTGACTTGAAATGTTGCTGGCAACATCTGGCAACTATCCCAGAGTCTTTTTTGCGAAAAATCTTCTTAGTTCCTTCGCAGACAGCTGGGCTTGGAGGTTTCAGCGATGATCATCTTTGCGATGTAAGGGTCCATGGCACCTTGGCCGCACCATTGCGGCACTGGTGTTGAAGGGCGTCACGTTGATCCAAAAAAGGGCTGTAGGAAAATTTGGACAAGTTACAGTACCCTTTGATAAAGGTGTGGCTACTGACATGTGACGCAACGGCAGGTTAGTTCTGAACTTGGCAAATTTTGGCATTGTGCTTGAACGATATTGGTGAGTGCGCAGCAATTATAGCAAGTTTTTGCAATTATTTGATATCATTTGTCTATCCTTGTAGCACTTAACAAATCTACAGTATTGACTATATAATCATACCTAGGAAACTCATGAACCGGGGTTACGTCTCAATATAAACGAAACAACATCTCTAAAACCGCCCACAGAAAGTACTCAGATACTCTCAGATCAGGGCTCACTTTGGAGGCAAGAACTCCTAATTATTCTGTAGTGCCTTGCTGTCCGCAAATGATACGAGTCGGTCAGGATCCTGCTTTGTTCAGACCATGCACCGTTAAAAAACTTGGCAGCACTCCCATTGCCTGTTGAGAAAGTCACAAAATGCAACAAACATCAACGCACCCATGGCACCCATCTCAGGTCTTTCATTTCCTTTCGGGGAATTGGTGATGCGACCGTTTCCCTTGGACCTGGTGGATAAAGGTGCAGCTGTTGGCAGACGCTGTTGAAGGCGAATTGCATCATCCCAAAATCTGCAGGTGGCAACAAAGACCTCGGTGACTCAGAGCCAAAGTTGCTCTCAGAAGCTTTGCTACACTCAGACTGGCAACATGACAATGCATTGATGCCTTGAGGCGTGTTCTATGTAGCATACTTTCATTTGCCAAAGTGCATGCCAAATGCCTTCCTCTGACGCCATAATTTGTCAGTGTCTGGAGTGTATGAGGAAAGGACCAGTCAAGTCAACAAGTTCGAGCACCCATGTTTTTGAGTTAAGATCTGCAACCTAGTTCGGATGGATCAGACTTGTGATAAATGTAGTTTGTGACCAGATTCTGCGTTAGTTTGTATGGTTCCACCCCTGAGGATGTGATGGACCTGCGAGAGTCTCGTTTGCCTTGTTCTGTCGGACCGGCAGGGTGCGTGATCTGATGGTGTTATTGCAGCTGAAAATTTGAACGGAAGAAACTTGATATATATATATATAATATGCAATATAATATATATGACCACAAGCTACCCATTGCCTGGCCTTTTGAATCTCAAGCTCTATGGTCGACAGTGTCCTAAGGGTCTTTCAGTTGGGTCTTGAAGGTGCTCGTAACAATTGGTGGAGCCTAGGTTGTCCTACCTACTGCATCCAACCATCCTTTTCCCTTCTTGCCTTGATTTTCCTCTGTGGATTTGTCACTGGCACCTGCGCCACCTTCTTTTCCCTTTGGACTCTTTGGACTTGGATTTCACCTGCTCCTGCTTCACCCATTCCATCTTCTCCTGCGCCTTCATCCCGGTACTCAGTTCTGGCTGAGTACGCGTATGAGCCAAAGCAAGCACGACGGAGAGCCTTTTGAAGTTCAGTGCTCTTTGGGGGATCTTCGCATCACCATTGCTGGGCCTCGTGACCAAGCCACTGCACTCCTGCTCAGGCTCACCTCGGAAAGAGCTGAGGAATCAGCGAGATCACCAAGGACTGAGGGATCCTTTGACTTGGTCTCTTCCGTGCCGACGGAGGTGCAAACCACTGAGAGTCGCAGCGTTATTGCTTCGAGTTTTCAGCCTTGCCCTCGCCATCTACTGGCTCAATCTACGAGGTTGTCTGGGTCCTCAACATCCGGTGAAGATCGGATTCGCAGAGCTTGGACTGCCGGTCAGTGGGCAGGTGCGGTTCAGGCAGGGAGAATTCCTACACCAAACCGCTCTCAACAGCTGGATCTCCGGCCCAGGTACTACGCTATCATCAAAGCGCAGAACCTTGACACCTCGACCCTGTGCAAGAGTGCTGCATCCTATTGGGGTATCATTGAGGACCTGGCGAAGTCCAACTCAATTTCCCATTCATTCCCATCAGAGATTGAGGCGCAAGTGTACTTTGCAGGAGCTGGAGTCACTGACTTTGAGATCCGTCAGTAGGAGCAATGGACTCTTTGGATGGTATTCTAGCTATGGAGTGTTTGACCCTGGCCACGGACGAATTGGTGCCCTATGTGCTCAGTTGGACCCTGGATCCAGAAAGCCGAGATCCCGCAGAGACATCTGTGCTGGTGATTATGAGGCGGACAGGTGGTGTCCTGTTGGCCGTCCCAGCCAGTTTCCTTCCCATGGACATCATCGAGCAGGGCAATGCTGGAAGTCCCACAAGCGTATTTGGGCCTTCTGTGGAGTTCGAGGTCCCCGCAATGCTTGCAGATGGAAGAATTGTTTCGCAGACTGGAGGCACAGTTTTGGTCAGGGTCGTCGATTGCACGGAGGGGATCATGTCACACCTTCGCGAATTCATGGAGGACGAAGAGGTCACTTTCTCCTTCGACGAGGACTCTCCTTTTGCTTTTCCCTCCATAGATGCTTTGGTTCCGCTGGTGAGGACTTGGGCCACGGCCACTTCAGAACAGCTGGCCGCGTTTTACTCCCCCGAGGAGCTAGACGAGCTTGCAGACCCAGATGCCACTCCGCCGCCGCGAAGACCTCCTGCCAGAAAGGCTACTCCTTCAGGAAGTGGGCCAAAGGCAAAGCGGGTCACTACCGCTGCGCTGTCCACACAGCTGGAAGAGGTTTTGGGGATGCTGCCACAGATGTCCCAGCAGTTGACCTTGCTGAGTACAAGACAACAGAGGTTGGAGGATCAGCTGCCCACATTGGGGAAGAGCGCAGCAGTTGCAGTAGCTCAGCCTTTGGGGACGGCGCTGGACTTACCTCAGCTACCAGTATCCGCCATTGCAAAGACCCTGCAGCCCCCCCCACGAACTGCGGCGCGTCAGAGCCTTGGTTTGTTGGCATCGGGAAACCATTGGAGTTGGAGGCATTGGAAGAAGAGAAAGCGGGCCCCGAGCCCAGATCTGCCCAGATTTCCGGGGATGCTTTAGCCCAGGCTGTTTTAGCCCAATCACAAGCGCTGACGAGTTTGGTTGCCCAGATAGCACATGTTCAAGGCGATCCAATGGGCGAGCTGACAACCTCAGGAAGTGCTGGGGTGCGAGGGGCGTCGGGCCGAGCAAAGCTTCAAGCAGAGTTGGCGCAACAGAAGGGGCTTTTCTTTCGTGCAGTCCTGCAGAGCATGTCACGCCGGATGTCACCAACCAGCTCCTCAGATGCCTCTCCCCAAGAGCTCTTGAATCGTGGTGTTTCTGGAGTACGCTACTTGGAGAGATTCGGAGGATACGGAAGGCAGCGGGAGTTAGGCCAACTGCAGTTCCAGGTCATGACAGCCCTGGACTATATGATGGCAGGGCATATGGATGCCGCGATGGACACAGTGGCCTTGTTGGCAGTGACAATAGAACAGGCATGCCTGGACGGTGGCAGAATGGACTTAGCCACCCTCCTATGCTTGCAAGAGGATGCACCAGCCTCAATCTTTGTCAACAGACAGATGATGAGCACCTCTCGCACCAGGGCTTTCGCGCCTTTAGCCGATCAACGATGGGTCACGTGTGCTCTGGCGTTTCTCAAAGAATTGGAGGTCATCTCCAACAAGAGGGTGGAGCTTCTTGGGCAGAGCCGCAGTTCCGAGACTTCATCAGACCCACCTGCAGCAAAACCAAAGCCAAAGGCGAAAGGCAACCCAAAACGGAAGGGAGGGGGCAAGGGCTCTCAGGCTGTTGCGGAGGAGGTGGAGCCCTAGCAGACCATGAGCGACCAACCAAGAGCAAGCTGAGTCAGGGACAGGAGACAAGCCCTTTCACAGCTACTATCAGTTTTGACACGTGGGCACTTTGTATCCCGCGTTGGTTTCTGAGGTGCAGGACAAGTTTTGGATGGCGCCTCAAAAGATCTTTCACTGCTTGCTGGCGTGGCCCTTGCGCTTCGCCTACCGCATCTTTTCCTCTGCCGGTGCCCTACCCAGGTTGCTTTGATGGCAGTGGCCCTGGTCTTTCAAGACGGAGGTTGGCCGCGAAAGCTCGACAGAGGCTTTTGCATGTTGTGGTTTATTGTCTGAACTACATGTTCCTTGGCCGACATCCTACCCTTGCAGAGATTGGGAGGCAGCCAAATGCTTTGCAGCGCAGTTGTTTCCAACGCTTGAGGCTGCTTATGGATGCGTGTGGAGCCCACCAGGAAGAGCATTCAATGATTCCTGGACGCTCTGGACCTGAATTAGCTGCTATGCTGATGCAGATGGAGAATTTCATCAACGTGCACCCTGAGCTGGGACAAAGTTATGCCCAGCCACGCAACATCAAGTTCAAGCCTGATCCTGCCGTAATTTCAGCTGAAGAGCACCCTGAACTTCAGCCTTACAAGAACCTTTGTGTCGATAGGCTGAAGCTGGTTGGTGAGGGAAAGTGGAAGATGAGTGATTTTCTTTCAGGGCCACTTTGGCTCCCTTTCCAGGAGCCTCGTTTTCTTTTGCATGGTGAAGATGTTGATTTTGCGGCAGGCCCTTGCTTCAAACAGGAGTCTCGTGATGAGAATCTCAAGTTGGCAAAGCTGTGGGATACAAAGGGCCTGTTAGAGCTTGCGGCCTCCCCCTTTCAGACTGGCATGTTTTCGCGTGTCTTCAATGCCCACAAGTCAGCGATGCACGACAGGCAGATTGGTGATCGACGTTTACCCAACATGATGGAACGAGCTATTGACGGGCCTTCCAAATATCTGCCTCCGGGGTTTTTGCTGACAAACCTTAGTGTGGCTCGCGGCTCACAGCAAATCTTTGGCAGTGTAACAGACAGGCGCGACTTCTACCACCAGACAGCGGTCACCTATGAACGTGCCTGCTCAAACATGCTGCCTTTCAAGTTTTCTGAGGAAGAGCTGGCGGGTCTTCAGGCAATGCAGAAACACAAAGAAAGAGAGGAGACTGGACGCAAGAAGAAAAAGGACAGAGCCTTGCAGGGTGACGGTTTTGGACTCTTTTCTGATGTCACCACTCCCTCTGCTGGGGATGGCCTACATCCTTGTTTCGCATCTCTTTTTCAAGGTGATCATTTGGGCGTTGAGTTTGCTTTACAGGGTCATGAGGATCTTTTGCAGCGGCATGGGCTTTTAGCAGAGGAGCACCGACTGAAAGGGCATTCAGTTTTTCCCGTGACATCTCAGTGGGAGGGCCTCATCATTGATGACTATTTTGTGATTTGCAGAGATAGTTTTGGTGCAGACCCTCTCAACACTTTTGCAGGGAAAGCCCTGGGCTGGGCTCGACAAGCCTATGAAAGATATGGTGTCATTGGCTCAGCTGAGAAGGATGTTGAGGCGTCGACGCGCTTCAAGGCAGCAGGCGCCGAGATTGACTCCTCTGATGCTCTTGTGCGGAGAGGTTTGACAACAGTTGCAGCTCCAATATCAAAGAGACTGGCCTTATCCTGTCTCTCATTCAGGATTGCAGCCCTTCCAGCGGTGACGGCCAAGTTGCTTTCACGTTTGGCGGGAAACTGGACTTCTGTTTTGCTCTATAGAAGATGTATGACTGCAATTGTGGACACCCTCTTCAAGGAAGCGGCTGAATCTGAGGCCTTGGGGGAGAATACCACAGTTGCGCTTTCAAGATCAACAGCCACTGAGCTTTGTATTCTCTCTGCATTGGTGCCTCTTGCGGTCACCAATATTGCCACGAAGTACTCAGAGAAGCTCTACACGTCAGATGCATCGTTGGGAATGGGCGCTGTTGCCTCCACTCAGATCCCTGCGACTTTGTCTGAGGTACTCTGGTTGGGTAGTGACAAGCGAGGCTGCTACACCAGGCTTGACAGTATGCCTGTCGCTTTGCTGGCATCGGCTGGGGCTGAAACACATGAGTTTGAAGCAGAACGCCCCGCTGGGGTCATGCATCCAAGAAAGGCGCCGCTCCTGTACTTTGACTTTGTGGAGTTCTACGGAGGATCTGGTAGGGTCTCTTCATGCATGCGACAGCTGGGACACTCAGTAGCGCCTCCGCTTGATCTCTCGGCCTCCAAGCACTTTGACTTTACAGATGCAAGGTTGATTGAGTGGTGTATGCACATGATCGAGCAAAAGAGGTTCAAGTCGTTCCTATCAGAGCCACCTTGTACGACTTTCTCTCCTGCAGCTCACCCAGCAGTCAGGTCATACCAGCAGCCCGAGGGTTTTGACCTTGACTGCCCAAAGACATGGCTTGGCAACCTCCTGGCGAACAGATCTTTTATTTTGCTGAGGCATGGCAGAAAACATGGTTCTCCTTGTGGAAAAGAACAGCCTCACCTGAGCAAAATGGCATGGCTGCCCGCATGGATGCAGCTGCTCAACATGGACTTTTACGAAAGTGTTGTTGCCAGTTGTCAGTTTGGGTCGCCGCGCAAAAAGCAGTTTCGGTTTATCACTTACCTTGTTGACAGTGAAAGCCTTGAAGTGCGCTGCCCTGGGGGTCATGACCATGTGCGAGTTGAGGGAGCATACACAAAAGATTCAGCCGTCTACGTTTGGGACCTTGCTATGCATTTGGCGAAGCATTTTTCTGTAGCACTTGCAAGAGCGCAGCTGGCTGATGATGACATGCTCCCGGCAATTGGCCATGAGAGTTTGGTACTGAATGACCTCCTTGCGGCTTCCCAATGGAAGATTGAAAAGAGCTGGTGGTGGAAGAGGAAAAGCCACATCAACGTGCTTGAGGGTCATGGTGGCTTGGCTGTTTTGGCAGACGCTGCTGTGACCTGCCCCGACAGCAGATTTTGTTGCCTGCTTGACTCAAGAGCTGCAAAAGGGGCCCTGGCGAAAGGGAGAAGCTCTTCAGCCTCCTTACAGAGGGTCTGCAAAAGATCCATGTCTTTGCAACTTGGTTTTGGACTATACCCAGGTTGGGGTTTTGCTCCAACAAGGCTGAATGTTGCAGATGACCCTACGAGGAGAGTCGCTTTACGCAAACCTGTAGCTCACTCTTTGCTGGATTTCCTTGACCCTCGAATTGTTCAGGAGGTACACACAAGAGCCTTGTCAAGATGGGCAGCAAATTGGGCAAGACTTGCGTTGTTGATGTTTTTCCTCCATGTTCAGGGTGCTGATGGCTTGGATTTGGATTTACGCCTTTCAGCCCCTGACCCATCGCCTCATGACCAGACTCTTCTGTCCCAAAAGCCCTTCATGCGTCCTGAGCTTGGACTTGATGGATTTTTCTTTCTCTGTGGATTTTGCTCTGAATGCGATCTTTCATTCTCACCTTGGCTCCACCAATTCTGCAGTTTTGCCTCCAGCCTCTTTGGACTTTTGCAGTGCCTCGTCGACTGTGGCTCGTCCCTGTCTTATGTTTTCCAAACCACCCAGTTGCTGGCCTTTTGGATTTTACCTTGCATCTTGCTTCCCTGGCTCTGCACAACTCTCGCTTCTGGATTTCTCTGTCCTTCAGAGCCCTTCAAGACTCGTCTCGGTCCTTGTGTTCGCGGTCCTAGGCCTCGGGTTAGTTGGATTTTGTTTGTCTGTCTTGGACTTCCGGGGGTCAATGCCATGGAACCGCTCTCAGCGGCGGAGAGAGCCAGAGCGTCTGCGAGAGGTGGGGCTACACTTGTGCCCACCAGGGTTGCGCGACAGAAGACACTGGAAAGCAGGAAGGTTTTGCTGGATGATTTCAGAGTTTGGCTGTATACCCAACATGGCATAATGTTACAGCAGCTTCTGACAGCAAAGCCACCTGATGCTGAAGAGGTATCCAAATGGCTGGTTGCGTGTGGACAGGAAATGTTTGCAGCGGGAAAAGCATATGGTAAGTATGCTGAGACAATCAACAGCATTGCAACTGCACGGCTAATTCTCAGAAAAAGCTTGGTTTCAGCCTGGGACTTAGCATTTGCATGGTTGGCGGACGAACCCTACCAGCACCACCCTGCTTTGCCTTTGAGTGTGTTGCTTGCACTCATGTCAACTGCTATGATGTAGGGTTGGGCTTTGGAAGCAGCCATCTTTGGTTTAACCTGGGCAGGAATTCTGCGAATTGGCGAGGTCCTGATGGCTGACCGTGGTGACCTTGTGCTGCCAGGTGACAGTGCCCCAGGCACACGCTTTGCCTTGCTGCGCATAAAGTGCCCAAAGACGCGGGGTCGTGCGGCCCGCCATCAGGCGGCCCGCATCGACCCCCCGGATTTGGTGGAGTACCTAGCAGCAGTCTTTGACCAGTTCAAGGAGGACCAGAAGTTATGGCCGTTTTCGGCGGTGACCTTGCGGAAGCGCCTGAATGCACTTCTGACTTCAATTGGACTAGCCACTGAGCGCAAGAGCGGTGGCAAGCCTTTTGACCTGGGCAGCTTCAGACCGGGAGGTGCGACTTACCTCCTGCTGTTGACTGAAGACTCAGAAGTCGTACGAAGACGAGGGCGCTGGGTTACCAGCAAAGTCTGTGAGCTGTATCTTCAAGAGGTCCTATATACAACATACACCGAGAAACTGGCGGAGGGTCCACGCAGAAAGATTCAACAGCTTGCAGGAGCATTTCCACAGGTGCTTGAGAAGGCAATTTGCTTTCTCAGAGGAGGCATACCTACGAAGGTATGGTTCAAACTTTACCAGGCCAATGACCGTGAGGAGCTTGGAAAGGAACGGGAGACACGGGATCAAATTCCAGCTTTTGCCACACCGAATTGTGGCGCTGGAGCCGGAAACCTTTGCACAGCAGTGAAAAAGGAGCGGCATGCAGGTTGCTTGACCACAAGCTACCCATTGCCTGGCCTTTTGAATCTCAAGCTCTCCCAGCCCTGCACAGAAGACCCGCCCTGACACTTTGTCTTGGCCTGGTGGGATCAAATTCCAGCTTTTGCCACACCGAATTGTGGCGCTGGAGCAGGAAACCTTTGCACAGCAGTGAAAAAGGAGCGGCATGCAGGTTGCTTATATATGTATGTATGTATAATATATATATATCTAATATATATATATATATGTAGTACATAAAATATATACATATGTAATATGTTTATATTATATATATCATACATACATATATATATGTAATATATATATATATATATGTAATATATATATATATATGTAATATATATATATACATGTAATAATATATATATATATTTATTATAATATATATATATATATTGTAATATTAATATATATATATAAATACATATTATATTATATATGTAATATATATATATGTAATATATATATGTAATATATATATATATATATGTAATATATATATATGTAATATATATATGTAATATGATATATATATATCTTTTGTAATATATATATTATAATGATAATATTAATAAGAATAATAATAATGATTACTATAATTAATCATAATAAACATAATATCAATAGAAAAAATAATATGTGTATATATGTATGTATGTATGTATGTATGTATGTATGTATGTGCGGAACAAACATGATCAACTTTCTGGAAGGTTTGTTTAGCCTTTTGCACACGCAGCGAGCAAAGTGGGTGGATGTTTCAACAATTTTCAAAGGGAACTTGGAGCTTGGTTGGAGTTTCTCCCAAGCAGGGGAGGTGAATTTGAGGCAAACATGTCTTGTTTTGTGCATCTGTGATGGCATGGGCGGCATGGGCCTCCCTTGTGCACCTAGAAGTGGTCCGACAAATCTGCAGGAAACAGACAACATATTCGATATGTCGATATTATTCAAATGATGTGTGATTTGTGGAACTTTTTTGCGATGTCATAAAATAGGGAACTTGCACCACCACATCAGCAAAATCTATCAGAGTAATCAGAGTAGAGATGAACTGAACAGAGTAGTGAACTTTTTGTAAAGAGCCGAAAACAAGTTCCAGATTAGACAATTCCCACAACTGGTTTCGAAACATTAAAAAAAATTAAATGGCAATAGACTTGTTTCCGACAAGAGAATCTCAATTAAAAGCCGAGCCGAGTGTTAGAAAGAGGTTGCATGCTGTTTGCACAACTGTGCCATTGTCAAGCGGAACAAAGAAACTTGATTAAGGGGCTCGTGGAAACGCCATGCCTCATGGAAAAGTTGGTTGAGCATCTTCGGGTCATTCGCGCATGGAGGTGAATGAATGAATTATGTCTAGGCTCGGTGTTGAAGTCCTTTATCATTTGTGCGCCATGTCTTGAAAACTATCCCTGCTGCAGTTTTTGCGATGACATTGCCGGTGTATATGTGAATCTTGGTATCCCATTCTTCATCGCACGTGTCTGTGTTATTTGAACCCCAGACCGTCGCCCTTGTATCTTTGCCTGTGTGATACTTTGTGCCCCAAGTCACCTGTCCCCATCTCCATATGGGCTAGTGGTCCAGGTGCAGTGAGAAGTCCCCTGTCCCCTGTTCCCTTCATGCGAAACCTAAAAGAGTATACCACTTTGTGTCCTCTATGTATAGTACGCGAGGGAATCCACATGTGGCTGCACAAGTGAGTCCGTTTGGTCGGGTGCACAAGTGAGTCGAGCACGTCATGTGACTGGTGTTCATGTGGAAAAATGATGAAATCTTGATAAGTCTGATAAGCACTTTCTGTCAGGAGAGGCTTTGGCAGCCTCGGAGCAGCTGAGGGTTCCAGCTTTGGTGCTGTGCTCAAAGAAACTTGTGTGACTTTGTGTGGATAGCAGAAAATTGATGTCACCAACGCAAGCTTCTCAACTATATGTTGATAGTTCCCCTGTTGTTTTGTATAGATGCTATAAAACTGATTGGCAATTTTCGTTCGTCTCAGGTTTGTTTAGCATATCTCTTGCGAACAGCGAAAACATGCACGGCGCTTAAGTTCTGTGCAGCTTCGGATGCAGAAAAGTCTTGTCACAAAAAACCACGGAGATACCACTGTTTGCTTTGCGATGCTTTGTCGTGTCTGAAAAAACAATTCGGAATCCATCTTTCTGTCAGACAGTGACAAATTGTTTAAAAGCATTAAGACATTTTCGCATTATTCGGTCTGCATTATTCAAGGAATCGTATTAATCCGTTGACGAATCCTGTTAATCCGTACAGCTGTTGAAACTCTGTTGTTGAATGGAACTGGGCTTGACGCTCTGCAAAAGATGTCTCTTGTCTATACACAGGATCATAAGTCCTGCTGACAACTCGAGTCATAGACATTGTAGGCAAGTAACAGCACACAAGACTCAGGTGATCGAATCATGACTATCACCACTTGATGAGAAGGTATGCATGGAGATCCCTTTTGTGAACTAGACCACAGACCTGTACTGAGTTAGAACCATTTTCGGCTGTCGTTTTCTGGCGATTCCTGCGGTCACACCAAGGCCTTGACAAGGCTTTGCTGAAGGCCTCCAGAATTCTTGTAGGAATCCAGGTAGTTGTAGCTCATGCGATTCAAACTACCAACAAGAGCGCCATTTTCAAGATCAGGCCTGATTCCTGCAGACGTAACATGTTATCCTTGCTGCTAAATGAACTGGACAGTTACTTATTCGACGCCAGTTAGTGAAGTGCTCAATTTGCATATGCCACAAATATTTTGATTTTGCTTGGCAAGTGGCCATTGAAACTTTATCAATCCTTTGTGGTTGGAGTACCCAAAAGTGCTGCCAAATCTTTAGGAAAGTCTGATGCTCTAAACAGTTCCTCCAGATATTTAAGACTTTTGCTGGAACTTTATGCCTTCAGGGAGCCTTCTGCAAAGAACAGGACGACCAGCAGGAGCCTGTCATTGATCAATATAGGTTTGCGACAGCTGTATGCCGCTGCATGCCGCTGTATGCCTTTTGTTGCCTTCTGATGTCTACAGAGTCTACAGGATCCCAGCACTTCACAAATGGATTCTGATAAATCTCACAAGACGGAGTTGTTGGATGCGCTTTGGGGGATGCCTCCAACATGGCGCAAACCTATTGATCATATTGATCGTGTCACGAATGTTTGCCTTAAGCTTCCAATCTGATAGGAACGAAGGAAGGGGGCCTGCGGGTCGTTGAATCCATCCTTTTTCCTCCAGAGGGGTCGCCGCTGCTGTTGCTGATGATATTCTTGTACTGCAATTGTTGCTGTTGTTGGCGTTGCGTTCATTGGTATCATTGGTGTCGCAACTGTTGTTAAGGCATTCTAGATGAATCAAATCAACAGGTTTCTGTTCAGCCAGTCAGGGAGGTGAGTGAAAATGCAACTTTTAAGTCATTACATTAGCAAACTGTTTGTTCTTGAGATTCATGGGGAAACATTTTGGTTTGCTATCTCGAAAGTCGGCATTGATCCATGAAATTGATCGTCCCCAACTTGACTTGGAGAGCCTTTGGCTATCGCCCCTCGGCAGGAGTGTGCTCTGGAAATGTATGAACTCAGCGACAAACTAAAGCGTTGGACAGTGGAGGCGCTCAGACTTAGATATTCTGCGAGCTAAAACCGATTGTTACCCAGAATTGTCATCAGAGTCTCAAAGTCTCTTTGATGCGAAGACATGTTGAGGTCAACTTTCCCAGAACAAGTCTCTTCAGAGCCTCCATTGCCACCAAATCTGTGTTTCTTGGAACAACATGCAACAACAACATTCCACAACTTTCCACAACTACTGCTGTCGCTATTTTGCTATTCACCGTAGGGACCGATCCATGGCCATGATGGCCGCGCCAATGTCCTTGGAGGCCGATCAGGGCACAGCGGATGCGGTGGAAGGCGGCCAGCTGTTGCACGTGGACTCAGCCTTCCACATCCAGGGTGTGTTGATATGTGTTGATATGTGTTGATACTGAGAATTGAGTAACTCTGAGTAGTTGGTGGGTGAGTACTATGTTCTACTCAATGTCTCGACCCGAATATCTCAAGCAGTATGGAATGGGGTTCTGAGCACTGGTCAGACCGTAGTTCCTGGTAGTTCCTGAGCTTGGATGATTTGGATATATTTGGAACCACCTTGATATTGTTGGATATATATATATTACTTGGATATTTGGATGCTGAGGCGAGATTTAAATGCTTTTGTGACTAGCTCAGACTCTCAGAGGTGTTGTGGCATCTCTGGAGCATCGTGCCTACGGCTTGCATTTTCCGCAAGCCGTGGATTGTGACGTCTTCATGTTGTTTCCGCAGAGGTGTTTTGGATGTTACGAACTTCATAGCTTCATCTCCGTATCCATCTTTGAAAATTAGGGACCAGCCCATGACTTTTCTCGGGCTCAGACCTGGTGTTGGCTCTTCTCCCAGAGCTCCTTGTCAGAGGTGGAAACAGTGTCATCAATGGCTGAGAAATCCCCGAAGTGGACATTTGAAGGGGAAAGTGTCATGGAACCAAGATGAACTAAGTGGGGAATTTCCAGCCATGGATTGCCAGAGGGTAGTGTTCTTCGGACTGTCGGATCATCCTATCTCACAAGATTCGCCCAAATTCGCAGGAATTGTGTGACTGGGAGAGTCTGCTTTCCCAGTGAACTTGGCGGGGGAGCGATCGTGTCGTGGAGATGCGTAAGCGATGTTCAAGGGGATGATGAAATGCGTGAAACCCAAAGGTCCAGAAGGTGATGGTGCATGAAGACTAGTCTCTCTCTCTCTCTCACTATATATATATATATATTATATGTGTATATATATATATTATGTGTATTTTGTGATTTGTCCTGATACAGCTGAGCTTGATGTGACACTTGTTTGCCAGGGATGTCTTTCATGATTACATGGACCGTGGACATTCGCGTCCCAAAGTGCCAGCGGAGGGTTGAGGTAGTGGATGGCAACTGGGTTGCCGTGTTGGCGCCATAGCTGAGCCGTGTTGCAGGGAAAACACTTGGGAGCTGCGTGTTTGGTATTGGACCGGGATCCAATTTGACCTTGACATATCCTTTTGTGATTTACTAGGTGTTGGGAACACCACCAATCTGCAATTCAGGGAATTGCCGTTGCCAGTGTTGAAAGGGGCTTTCAGCTCTTTCACACTGGTAGCGGAGCTACGTGCTCCAGCTACTGCCCTTTTGTTTGCCTTCTTTGGAAGCTGATCTGTGCCTGCGTTGTAGCTGAAAGAGCGGGATCCAGGGAGCCGCAATGGCCTCACCTTCGCAAATGACAGCTGCCGTTGAGACGCCAGTGCCGGATGAGCCCAATCCGTTAGTGACACCTCAGTTGCCCTGGGCAAGCATTCCAAAGTTTGTTCCAGGGACAACGAATGTCCAAGAGTATGTTCAGAAGATGAAGTTTCTTGCCGCAATGTGGCCTGCTGAGCATTTGAGCTTGCTAGCCCCAAGGGCTGCCCTTCTTGTCGAAGGGACAGCCTTTCGCAAAGTAGCCAGGTTGGATCCAGACAAGTTGAGAGTCAACGACAAGTCTGGAGTAGCCTTGCTGGTGGATGCTATCGGTGGGTCTTGGGGAGCTACAGAGTTAGAAGAGAGGTATGAGTACTTTGAAAAAGCCCTTTATGGGACAGTGCAACGTGCCGATGAATCACGTGACTCCTACTTGTCCCGCATGGAGTCCAATTTCATCGAACTGTTGAGCCGAGGTACCAAACTGGAAGAAGTACAGGCGTATGTCTTGCTTCGCCAATCACTGCTGCCCCCAGATGACAAGAAGAAAGTTCTTCTCGAACACCCAGGAGAATTGAAGTATGATCCAGTGGTGCGATCTTTCAGATTGCTTGGGAGCAAGTTCTTTTCCGACCTCCAAGGAAGTCGCCAGAATGCCAAGACCAAGGTCTATGATGTGAATCTTGCAGAGCCATCTGAAAGTGACTGGAACCGATCTCATGAAGATGCTTCCTCAGAGCGTGCATTTGTGGCACTGACTGAGGACCACGACGCCGACTTTGACCAGGAGTTCCTCGACATCATGATCGCTTCAGAGGACCAGGACGCACTTACCGTGCACAATTTTGAGCAGGAACTCGAGGAGTTTTTGCAAGAAGTTCCAGAGATGCATGATGCAATGGTATCGTATCGAGGCCCGATCCAAGTTGCAGGAAAAACGACGCACTCGAGGATTCTGGCCTGTGAAGTTTTCTGGAAAAGATGGAAAAGGTGCCTACAAGGGCAAGGGGCGTGGCAAGGGAAAGAAGCAGCGAGAGCAATTGCTCTCTCGCATTGCTAGATCCACTTGTCGCATATGTCACAAGAAGGGCCATTGGAAAGCTGAGTGCCCAGACCGAGACAAGAGTTCGGAAATGGGACAAACTGCTTTGGCCAACATTGTTGAAGAGGCCCCCTTGGCCGTTGTTCATGAAGTGCACTCCGAGCCTGAGTCGTCTCCGTCGGCCGATGAATGTGAGTCCAGTGTCCTGTCTGCCATAGGTAAGTTTTCCAGCCCGTGTCCTTTGCAAGTTTTGGATGTCCATGACATGACCCACAATGAAGTTGATGACGTTTTTGTTGTCCAAGCCCTTCATGAACCGCATGTTAAAGCTGCTTTGGGAAAGAGAATGAAAAGCCTCCTTGAGTCCAAAGCCCATGGTCATGTTCAATCCAAATTCTCCTTGCTCAGGCCTCCAGGAGTTTTGAGAAGCAGATGTGTCAAGGCCACCCACTCGAATGAGACTTCCGAGCCTTTGCCAGACATGTGTAACATAGCTGCTGCCTGTGACCGACCGAGTCACGCCATTTTGGACACTGGAGCAAGCCGCTGTGTGATTGGTGAGAAAGTTTGGGTGAAGCTGTTTGCAAGTTTGCCTGATGAGTTGAAACACAAAGTCCGTAAGTCACCAAGCCATGTGAAGTTCCGATTTGGAAACAACCAAACCATGCAGAGTGAATATCAAGTTCAAGTGCCACTCCAAAGTGCTCCACATGCCAAGAAGAAGCTTTGGTTGACGGTTGAAGTTTTGCCGGGACAAACTCCTTTTCTTTTCAGCAAACGTGCATTCAAACAGCTTGGTGGCACTCTGGATACCACCAATGACACGTGTTACCTTCAAAGATTGAATCGTTCAATTCAACTGGAACTGAATCCAACGGAACTGTATTTGTTAGATGTTCTCCAGCTGTGTGCTTCAAACATCAGTTTTTTCAAGAAGAATGCACATATCCATCATGTCTGGGGTGTCCGATCCAAGGGGAGTGATCCGACACAGGGGATACAAGATGGTGAAAATCAAGTTGAAAACATTTCCCTCACCATGGCCAAGCCAGTCTCAAAGGATTTACCACCGCCTGATCCTGTCAGTTCGAATCGTGCTGATACTCATGCCGCCTGCGCCAATGATGAATTCGTTGAAGACGGTGGCAGAAGCCTTGATCGGTCTTCTCACGATGTTGCTGCAGTTTTTAATACATCAACTGGAAGTGCAGCCGGAAGGCCAAGAGGAGCCACCGGAAGTGATGCAGACAATGGAAAGCATGGTTCAAGAACTGCACAATCAGAGAAGTCTTCTGCAGAACCTCATGTCGTCATCCGGAGCCCAACGACCCCGAGGCCAGATTTCCAGTGGTACCACAACAGGAACCGGAGCCTCCAGTTCACCAATGCCAAGGACTCCACCAGTACTGCCTCTGTCCGTGCCAACAGACCCAAACAATTTGCCGGTGACATCTCAAAGAGTGACCCAAGCTCTCCAACGCCAAGCCTTAGCAAACGCTCCTGCAAACAATGCCATCCTCACGACCAGGGTGTCCAATTGGCAGGTGCTGGCCGAGAGCGAGGAGGAGGAGGTGATCCTCGATGTCGAAGGTCGTCGTTCGGAGGTGAGTCCATCAACAGTGAGAGCCATCAATGCCCTCGGTTCCCTAGGTCCAAGCACGTCACCCCAGATGACAGTCGGAGAATGGGGTCAGTGCCGAATCACATGGGGAAAGAAGCACAAGGGCAGCACATATGCTCAGGTCCTTCGGTCCGATCCCGGGTATTACCAATGGTCTCTGGCCAGATTCCAAAGTTTGCCCCCAAATCAACAAGGTTTCGTGAAGTTTTGCCAAGTGCAATTGGACCTGGACCTTCATGCCATCTAGGATCAGATTCAGAAATGAAAACCAACTCTTTCATGTATCATGATGAAGTGTTGAGAACAAAGTTTCTTGGAGAGAATCCTTCACCAAAGCTTGTCAATGATGATTTGCAGAAATCTTTTCATCGAGCCAATCTGATCATGGAAGATGCATTCGTGTCGCCCACATGGAGTGCTCCCCAGAAGCAATGCGTGCTGCTCGAAGTGTATGCGGATAGCTGCAGTCCACTGACCGAAGCCCTTCGCCAGTCCGGACATTTTGCCATTCGTTTTACTCGTCAAGATGGGGATCTTGCAACTGTTGAGGGTCGTAAGAAATTGTGGCGAATCATTGATCAGTATCAACCCTTAAATATCTGGGTTGCCCCCGAATGTGGTCCCTGGGGAGGATGGAGTAAATTGAACATGTGCAAAAGTGTTGCTTTATTTGATCGTATCAATGCCTGGCGAAAACGTGAACTGGTCCACGTGGAATTGTGTGCTCAGCTCTGCAAGTTCCAAGTTCAGCGCAACCGCAACTTTCATCTTGAGCAGCCGAATGGATCCACAATGCCAAAGATTGACCAGTTCCAAGCCATTTTGAGCATGACGTACCGAGCCAGTTTTGACATGTGTCAGTTTGGACTCAAGCATCCGGTGACCAAGTTTTTCCTTCGAAAGTCCAGCCAAGTGTTTTCCACGAACCTGGAGCTAGTCAATCTTCTTGGCCAAGCTCGATGCAAGCACCAGCATGTTCATCAGCCGATTAAAGGAAGTGTTTCCGTAGACGGTCAGCACATTCCCTTGACACGATTTTGTGCAACATATTGTTCAGGGTTTGCAAAACAGGTTGCCAAATGGATAGTCCAAACAACATGTGAAGAAACCTTGGTAGGCGAACATGAAGACGCACCACCAGCCAAACGAAGTCGTTTCATGATCAATCCAAACAAACGAATGAAAACTGGACATGTAATTGATTTGGACGCCAATCCCTTACCTGAAATACCTGATGCCATCATGCCTGAACCTTCCAAACATGAAGAAGAGCCTGAAGTGCCTCAATCCAGAATCCCTCCAGAGAATCCTGATGATAGTATGGGTGAACAAAACAGACCTCAGTATGCCAAGGAAATGTCCATGGCCCCTCGTCCGAACGAGGAAGCAGCTCGTCCAATGTCCCAAAATTCTCTAGTGTCCGAACCCTGGAGACATGTGTTCCAGCTGATGGAGACATTGGCCCCAAGAGTTGGCAATCTACGAATTGACGCTTCTCATGAAGCTGGGCGTCTTGTGCAAGCCATGTTGCCGCATTTGAACCTTCAGGTTATTTATGTGTGCCGAGGAACTGAGAGATTTCAATTGCCCTTGGATCTGCCTGATCGAAACCACAACAATATTCGTCACACAGTTAGCATTCATAGAAGCACAGGGTCAATTCATGATTTTGGATTTGAAGATTGGTTGGTTTTGAAAAGGGCTCAACGTATTCGAGCTGCTGTTCCGTCCAAGTTGATGATTACCAGTTTTGGCACATTGGCAGAAGAACCCAAGGTTCATGTGGAGGAGATTGCAAAGCCACCTGCAAACCTGCCCAGATCTGTTCCAGAAACCAGGGGTGTAATCCCCAGGCCAGTTCCGAGGGAAGAGGCAATTGTCAGAGCTTCCGGATTCCAGCCACCTGCTCAATTTGACGGATGGGCACCTCCACCGGTTTCTATTCAGGGCCCCAAGTTTCGTGATTTGGAACCTCAAGAAAAGTCAGACTTGAAGAAGCTCCACACCAACTTAGGCCATCCAGACCCAAATGTGTTGGCTGAACACCTGAAAGCTCAGAATGCCTCACCTCATGTAGTAGCAGCGGCCAGGGAATTTGTATGCGATGCTTGTGTCGAATCCGTTGGCCGAAAACACCAACGGCCAGCCAAATTGCATGAGGCGAAAGACTTCAATGACTTGGTAGGCATGGACGGTTTCTATTGGTCAGGTTCCAAAGGTTTCAGAGTTCATGTTTTCCACTGTATTGATGAAGCTTCTTTGTTTCATCTTGGCCGGCGATGTGAAACTCGAAATCCAGACCAAGTCATCGGGACCTGGACAAACTTCTGGACATCTTGGGCTGGAAATCCCAAACAGATCTATACTGATCCAGCTGGGGAATTCATTTCAAATGAATGGAAAGAACTCTTGAGGAATCATGACATCGAGCCTTTGATATCCACTGAAGCTTGGCAGCGTGGACGCCTGGAACGTCATGGACAGGTAATCAAGCGCATGTTGTCTCGCTGCGACCAGGAACAATCCATAGAGACTTTGCAAGATTTTGATCGTGTGCTTATGTCCTGTTTTCAAGCCAAGAACTCACTTACACGTAATGGAGGATTTTCCCCTGAACAAATAGTCCTTGGAAAGTCACAGAAACTGCCAGCGAGTTTGACCTCTGATGATAGTGCAGCTTCCCACCTGCTTGCCATGGGGAATGAACCGGAAAGTGGGTTTTTTCGAAGATCCCTGGACATCAGGACTCAAGCCCGAAAAGCTTTTCTTTTGACAGGCAACGATCAAGCCATTCGAAGAGCTCTCTTGCGTAGGTCATGTCCTATGAGAGGACCATTTACACCAGGCCAATTGGTCATGTACTGGATTCGCAGACACCGAACTAGTCGGCAAGAGACTGGACGATGGCATGGTCCCGCGCGGGTGATTCACCAAGAAAGCCCGTCAGCAGTTTGGTTGTCGCATGCCGAAAGGTTGTTCAAATGTGCTCCCGAGAGCATTCGCCCAGCATCACTGCGAGAATGGAACTCAGTCCATGGATCAACGCAGATTTGGGTTCCTGACTTGCCTACCGTTGAGGAAAATCAGAGAGCTCCGGCAACACCGGCTGAATCTCTAGAGTACGAAGCAAGTATTGCACCCAGTGAAGGAGTTTTTCAAAATCCACCAAGCCAAGTAGCTACCCCTCATTCATCCACTCAACCCGAAAGTGAAACATTTCCTGAACCTCACCTTGAGTTTTCAGCACCAATCCCAACAGAAAATGAAAATCAAAATTCTCCTGAATCAATGCCTGAGGAACCCATTGACCTAGATCCGGAAGAGAGTAATCCACATGCCGCAGCCGCTGATGCCATGCCAATTTTGCAATGCAGTGCTGTCACAGAGGACTCTGATGAAGACACTTTATATGATTGGACCACTTTGCAAAGTAACCATTCAGAGCATGAAGTGTTATTAGCTGAGGATGGCCTTCCAATGCTTAACAACCCACTTGCATGCGATGAACAACAATGTTTTGCTTTGTCCATTGATTTGTCCGAGTCTGATGTTTAAAAATGGTCAGCCGCTGAGAAACCTGAAGAAATGGCATGGGTAGCCAGTGTTGGAAAAAGAGCCAAAGCAGAGGTTTGTGTGAAAAACTTAACCCTCGAAGAAAAGATTCAGTTTGAAAAGGCAAAGGACGCAGAACTAAACTGCTGGATACAGACAAATGCATTGAAGCCTATTCTAAGACGTCATCTCAATCCCGAACAAATCTTAAAGAGTCGCTGGATACTTACCTGGAAGAATGTCAACGAGGAAGACAGTCAAAAGGCTCAACGAAAGGCAAAAGCACGTTTGGTTGTCCTTGGTTTTCAAGATCCAAAACTCTGTGAAGTGGCTCGTGACTCTCCAACATTGACGCGAGAAGGAAGACACACTGTCCTCCAAACCATTGCTAGTAGAGGCTGGGAATTGTCATCCTTTGACATCAAGACTGCCTTCTTGCGAGGTCAGTCTGCCCAAGACAATCCCCTTGCGATGGAACCACCCACTGAGCTTCGAAAGAAATTGAACTTGACCAACGATCAGGTATGCTCACTGGTTGGAAATGCTTACGGCAGGGTTGATGCTCCTCTATTATTCTACAAAGAGTTTTCCAAACAGCTTCAGAAGTTGCAGTTTAAACGTCATCCACTGGAACCATGTGTATTCATTCTGGAAACCATCAAAGGTGGCTCCCGAACTTTGCATGGTATCATTGGAACTCACGTTGATGATGGAATATGTGGGGGTGACAAGTTTTTCCACCAACAGCTGGAAGCCTTGAAGAAGGTATTACCATTTGGAACTTTCAAACAGCGAAAATTTGTTTTCACAGGTATTTTGCTTGATCAACTTCCTGATGGTAGCATCATGGCCTCTCAAGAAGAATATGTTCGAGGAATCCCAGCCATTGACGTTGGACGTCATCGCCGCCAAACACCAGAATCTACAGTAACTGAAGGTGAACTCAGTAAGCTGCGAGGTTTAATCGGGAGTTTGCAGTATGCCGTTTCTCACACTCGACCAGATATGGCAGCCAAATTAGGGGAAGTACAAGTGCAGGTTTCTAAAGCCACTGTCCAAACCCTATTACTTGCCAATCGTGTTCTCAGAGAAGCTCAAGAACATAGTCATGTGAAACTGTGTTTCCGCAACATTCCAGTGAATCAGTTGACACATGTCAGCTTCGGAGATGCTTCATTTGCAAGTTCAAAACAGCTGGCTTCATTTCAAGGAACAAATGTTTGTGCAACCAACCTTGATTTAGCAAAGAACCAGAAAGCACCGCTTAGTCCTCTAACCTGGGTTTCCAAGAAAATTGCACGGGTGGTGAGATCAACACTATCGGCAGAAGCATTCTCGATGTCCAACTCCGTTGACAGACTTGGATGGATGCGTCTACTTTGGGGTACCATTAATATTGACAACTTTGCCTGGAGAGAACCTAAACAAGGATTTCAGCAACTTCCAATGGCCACTATTGTAACAGACTGCAAAAGCCTCTATGATTTAGTGAGCAGAACTGCCATTCCGTCATGCGAGGAATTCAGAACTACATTAGAAGTTTTGCTTATCCGGGAAAGATGTTTGGAACATAGTCAATTTCGATGGATCCCAACCTCACTGCAAGTGGCAGACGCTTTGACAAAACCAATGGATCCGATTCTATTGCGACAAGTCCTGGCTTCGGGCTGTTTCCAATTACATGATGAAGATGATTCATTGGAACGAAATGCTCACAGAAAGCAAGCTGTTCGCTGGCTTAAAGAACAGAACACAGCCACTCATGGTGTCTCATCAAAAGAGTTTAGAGGAATGTGATTTGTCCTGATACAGCTGAGCTTGATGTGACACTTGTTTGCCAGGGATGTCTTTCATGATTACATGGACCGTGGACATTCGCGTCCCAAAGTGCCAGCGGAGGGTTGAGGTAGTGGATGGCAACTGGGTTGCCGTGTTGGCGCCATAGCTGAGCCGTGTTGCAGGGAAAACACTTGGGAGCTGCGTGTTTGGTATTGGACCGGGATCCAATTTGACCTTGACATATCCTTTTGTGATTTACTAGGTGTTGGGAACACCACCAATCTGCAATTCAGGGAATTGCCGTTGCCAGTGTTGAAAGGGGCTTTCAGCTCTTTCACATATTTATATATATATACATATATATATATATACATAATATATTGTATATATAATGTATATATAATTATATAATGTATATATATATATATACATATACAAATAGAATATTCATATTAAATACGTATCTTTCTAGACAAGACCCATGGGCCCAATCGACTTACTCTTGTCGGCGCCATCCATCTAGCCTAGTACACGAGCTTTAATGGACTTATGCTGTTTGTTACACTGCCAAAAGCCTCCGGACAACTCAGGCGAGTTCCGTCAGTATCAGCAGCTTCACAGTCAGTTTCCTTTCTGAGCGGAAGACTGCAAATGCGACCGCAGATTTAAGGTGAGAAGTTGCCCAAACATGCCAAAACACATTCTGCAACTAGTTGCCTCGCTCAGTGCATGCCTCGAGTTTTGGGACATGGAACTCCAAACGGTGAAGCCCTGGAATAAAAGAACTGGGTCCTCCTTGCCATTGTGAAGTCTTGTGAAGAGCTGACCCGGGTCATGAAAGAGGCCCGAGGCCTGTGCTACTTTGTCCTCGGGAGGACTTGAATATTTGTCTTCCCATGGGCAGTAAGACAGATGTAAGGGGGTATGCGTTTCTAGGAACGTCTTGCAATGAATTTTGTTCTCCTTATGTATCCTTATGTGTATACGTATGTACATATATATATATATATGTATACGTATGTATATATATATATGTAATTATATATAAATACACCTTTGTATACATAAACACACATACATGTTTGTTTTGATGATTTGCGTTTGAGAGTAACACTTTTGAAGTTGGCTGACCTGAGTCCAGCTATGTTGGGACCTCTTTAGTGCTGTCGCTTAAGAAGCTCAATCTGCCTTTGCACCTTCTAGGGTCTACCTGTCAAGCACGGCCACGAGTTGAAACCAATTCAGAGGCCTTGGGACACTGTACAAATGTAGACCAGGGACCACTGTAGTTAGGAAGTTTCGCCTTGCCTTGCAAAATCACTGCGCACCTCTGTGTGTCTCAATGCTCCACAACTTACAAGCCAAACAACGATGCGTAACTAAAAGCCACGTTCTACTTTCCAATGCTGGAAGCTATATCTGGGATTCACACGAACTCATCCTGGTTTGATCTGGTTTGTTCATGTTTTTTCCCCTTCAGTTGCGAAACTTACACAAAACCCGGCAGGGCAGGGCAGCATTCAAATTTCGTGCCCTCTACCAAATTTCCAGCCTTCTGCCAATTCCTTCGTTTTTCTTGTGTTTTATCGGAAAGAAAAACAGATTGGAGCCTTCCTTTTTGCTGGTCTGCTGGATCAAGCCGTAGCTTCCATTTTTTATCGACTTGCAACTTGATCAGCAACAACCACTTCCCCAATTCTTGGCAGATGGGTTAAGGAAGTTGAAGTAGCTTCTCTTGCCTGAGAATTTCATAGACTCAGCGCACTGATGAATCTTATGAAGAATTATCCATGATTGCAAGCATCACAGTGGATATTTGATGGAGGCAGCGAGCGTGGAGACCCAGTCCAAAATCGGGAAGTGAAACTATGGCCCTTGAGGCAGATCAGGCATTCAGCCATGTTTACCAAGGCCTCTCAAACGGTCTTCTAGAAAAGGCAGGGTAACGTGGGAGATTCCATGACCAAAACGGAACGGGGAAAACGTTTAGCGGTTGTGGCACATACTTACTACATCTCGCTCTCTTTGCACAGCTTCTTCACAGAGCTGACGGGTCAGACGCGTCTGGTGCGTCTGACGGGGCTGTGAATTTGTTGCATTACAGATCCCTGCAGGTCACCTGGTTTGCAGCTCAGATCCATCGTGGAAAAGAGTTGTGACTATGCTTTGAAGAAAGGGTTGAGTGTTTTGAGTGTTTGAAGTTGAATGTCCTTTGTTGCATCAGATTTCCTCAGGCAATTGACTGCAAGACAGTCGATGGAAATGGAAGATCAGGCGAAGACATGTGCGTTTATATGCAGGTTTGAAGAACACAAGGAAGATACGATTTGGTTGTCATGCAACCGTTCCGACTATGACATATGAAGTTGTAGAAATGAGGCGGGCAGTCTCTTTGCAACTCTTTCAAGACACTCGTTATGCGGTGATTTTGTAGACGGAGCCTCCCACTAAGCGACAATGTGTTCGACGTCCGGGGACCCAGGGTATGGTTTTCCATTGGTCTTGGGACACGTGGGTGACGGTTGTTGAAAATTCATTGACTTCAAGTGGTGGATGCTCCCATTGGGAAAGGGGTCCCGGTGAATACAGGTTTGAGCCTGAGCTTCTAAAGATTCTAAAGCAATCTGTAGGTCCCCTAGTTCGCACTTGCAGGAGCCTTGAATGCTCTTGAGTTGTTTCACAACAGAGCCATTCCGTACAACTTTCGGATTCAACCAGGCAGGTTGCCAGCAAACCCAGTCTCAAGCTTCAGTGAGCTTCATGCCAAGACCTAAGGCTTGGTGCTTCTAAAGAGAGGTGCTGGCGGAGTTCGCAGCCAAGGCACCAGACGGCCCAGAAAAGTGCTGCAAGGGTTGCAAAGCCCTCCCAGTAGACAAAAATTGCATGGGCTCTGGAGTCTTTACTGGTAGTCCACAGGCAAGAGGATATCAACACAAATATCTGTATAGTATACAGTATACATGTAAATATTATTTCGGGCAGTGCCCTCTATAACTGCCCTCTTCTGTGGGAACCACAAGTTTGGTTGAGAACTATGTCGCAGTTGACGTCCGAGTTGATGTAACAGATTGGTCCCGGGAACAGATTTGGGAACACATGGTGTCATAGATAGGCTTGGGGATGTTTGGCATTCATGTCAGCCATGCTCGTTGATACATATTTTCAAATTTACCTGTAGGCAATAGCTACTTTCCGGTTGGCTTGCCCCCCAAGACAAACAGACTGCCAAAGATGTTGCAAAATCTTGATCAGAACGCTCGTGGGCGTAGACTTTTTTTTGGGGGGCTGGAGACGGCAATCCAACAGGAAAATCGCAGATACGTAGGTGTAGCCTAAAGCAGTTACAGCTGCATGTTTCACACCATCGTGTCCTCGCCTCAGAAATATGATTCGGTTTACTTCAACGTGATGTGGTGGTGTGTTTGGGTGTTTGCCCCATCTTTTTGCCAGAATGGCGCCAAGAATTTCACAGGATTTGAAACACGCAGTGTTGCCAAACATAGACATAGATGTGGAGTTGTGGAATTTTAACAGCCCATCTATCTTGATTGCTGTTTTTGACATTCGAACGTGCCTATCTGGGGTCCTTTTTGTAACATATCTTGATACTGCTTCTACTGGTTTACACTGACTAGCCAGCGGTTGTGTGCAGTAGGGATGGTCCAAGCCATGTCTCCCACATGCAGTTTAATACCATTGATTCCATCACGGTGAGAGGGATTTTAGGTGCACAGCCCTATCCTGGCAACGATGTGTCTGTCCATGCGTCAAACGGCAGTCCACAATGGGTTCGGATCACACCGCCGACCTTTGAACAACATATTTTGGGCAGTGCCCCAAACCCCGGGCGAGGAGGCGCAAGAGTGCCATGTCTCAAGCTAGCAAGCCATCACCAGGATTCCAAGGTCAGAATGCCACGCAGAGTGAATGGCTAGATTGGAAACAGTTCAATGTTTTGGGCTATGATGGAGCTAATAGGCTTCAGAGTTATGGACGCACGGACGTGCAGGCCATCGTCTGGACATGCGGTGATGTGAGAGACGGGCCCTTTGGTCCAGCATCATAACTTGAGGTATTCATGTAGGAGCAACATTTGCAGCTTTGGACGCCCCGCGCATTTTTCCATGTGTATGGGTTGCCCAGAAACTTGTTTTTTTTGCTCTAAACAAAAGCGAATATTGTTTCTCTTGTTTGGGTGTGATCGCGTTGTGTGGTTATGGTGCAAAATGAGAAGTGAGATTTATAGTATACAGTTTACAAAATAGATATATGATACATGGAAAAGTATGTATTGTTCTTCCTCGGTTGTTGCCTCACTATGTCTAATTTGATCATTTCTTCCCATATCAGGTCACGCGCTATATCAAATCAGGTCAGTCACAAAGCCGGAGCTGCGACCAGAATCATACTGTAGCAGTTGGATAGGTCCCCTGCCAGCATGTCAAGGCCGGTTGGCAATTCTGCCAAAATGTTGAGTGGACCCTGGCCATTACACCCAGGAAGGGATTATCCAAGCCTTTCGAATTCAAGCCTGAAAGGTTTCATCCTCGTGTTCCAAATCTCCCGGCGGCGCCTTTTTGGTTGGGTTTATGTCCCCTGACACAGTGAGGCAATGCAAAATATAGAGGGTTCATGTCTGTGGAAACGGTTTCGAACGGTTCTCAGCCTTCGTAACAGTCTTCGTAGCAGATTTGCCTTGTTTGCCAACCTGTCGAGATGACGTTGGGACAAGTAGCTGCGTTTTTGCGATCCAATCATCGTTTAAGTTCTCAGCCCTGGGGTCATGTCCCCTCACTCGAATCCTTCCGTTCAAACTTGCATTCTCACTAACTTCCAGTTAGTTAAGTTTTAAAGCTTCGGAATATCTACTACAAGACATACATTGACATACATATCTTGATAAACCCCTGTAATGCATATAATATAAATCAGGATTCTGGGGCCTGGGTTTTAATTTTTGAGGGTTTCTGGGTGTTAAAATGGGTTTTTGAATGGTGCAGGATACATATCGAAACGGTGTTGGCTCTTCACTATTCGTTAGTGGTGTTTTATCCAATTCTGCTCTGGTTTACATATGCGTGGTTTATTCAGGCTAACCCCGTCCAGGTCGGCCCAGGTCCGCCTAAGTCTGCCCAGGTCAATCCCAACTCCCAGGTTCTCCCAGGTTCTCCCAGGTCCTCCCAGGTTCTCCCAGGTTCTGGTGATTTCCTGCGATTTTGTGGGTTTCCGGGATTTTCTGGGAGAACCTGGGTGTTATTTTCTGCGATTTTGTGGGGTTTCCGGGATATCCTGGGAGAACCTGGGTGGAAACAGTTGGGGATGGGCCTGGGAGAGCTGCAAGAGTTAGTTCGGGGAAAAGTGGCTGGAGGGTGGCCCACTATTTTGACCCGCAATTTCTAAATTTCTGCCGCAGGTGTTGCCGCCCCCTTTGGCCTGCAGGTTTGCCACGTTTTAAAGTTTAGTTATAAGCATTACAGGGGTATAGCAATACATATCACACACATGGTAACATAGCAAGAATGATTTATCATGTACAGAATGCAGTTAACAGCGAAGTATCAATGCATCTTCAAGTAGCAGGGCTTAAGGTGGAAGTTGCAAGTTATAAGCCAAGTAATTAGCATGATTTAAAGAACGATTCCGGAACATGAGGTCCCAAGAACCGTTTCGAACGATTCTGGGGGCTTGGTGTAGGTAATGTCAATCAAGTTCGGACTTGTTTCTAACAGTTTCAACTAGTTCTCGCCTTGGGAAACCGTTTCAAACCCTTCTTGGGACATGTGCACATAGGTATCAAAGAACCGTTCGAAACCGTTCCCGGGAACCGCTGGTCAAACATCTTGTAACGCCTGTTTTGACAATTTAGCTCATGTTTCAATAGTTTTTACGTACATTGTGTTAGCTTGATGCTAGCTTGCAGCTTATAACTTAAAACTTGGAACGTTTAATTTATACCACACCCAACTTCTTCACCATGTTTAAGATTTCAACTTGTAACTTGCATAACTTTCAACATCTTCAAAGTAATGCCACACCACAGGTATGAAGTGAGGATGGGACGTGAAGTGGACTGGCTTGGGTTGCCGCAATATGAGCCGGTCCTTTTTTCCAACGTGTGAAGGGTCACAGTGTCTTTCATGCGGCGCTGTCATGTGCCAGCTCAGGTTTTGAAATTTCAAACAGTGGCCACCGGCATCAGCACACGGCCATAAGTCTAGTAGTGGCAAGAAAATGAAAAATTACCTGTGGACTCAGAGTTTTTGCGTGCGGGGTTTCCTTTTCCCATCCGAAATGGGTCGCTTTCACTTGTTTTTTTGGGCCCAAATGGTGATTCCCATCGTGATGCTGTCAGCGTGAATGGCCGCAATACTTGTTCCAATTTTTCTTTGGAGCCATCTCGCATGATTTTGTTGAATTGTGCTCGCTGATGACATGCCCTTGGTGGCTATTGTGCACAATTGGTCTCGGTTTTGGTTTCCAAGGAGAAATTTCCTGACGTTACATCAAATGTTCCCAGATTTGCCCCTGGCAACCTAGTTTGTTACATGAGCTGCTCCCAAACTTTACCCCCTTGACAGAGATAGAGGACACTGCCCGAAATAATGTAAATAAAAATAAAAAGTATATATCAAATGCTGGAAAAACAAAGGAAAGTTTGCCAATGCAACAGTGGCGAGGTGCACAACTTTAGGTGTAGCAACCTGAACAAGACTTCATCACTGAAGCGTTTCTACTCTTTCTTTTACTGTCGCAGTGGGGTGGAGAGACCTGTAGCCGCTGTAGCCAGTGTTGCGTTGCAGGTCCGCCGGAGCCCGGTGAGGCGAGGGAGTTGAGGAATTGATAGAAGGCCATGACTCTCTTCAAAAATGCCTTTGCCGCCTATGCCCTTCAAGGCTCTTCCCATCATCAAAGGTGTTTTCTGTATTTTCTTCACTCATTCTCGTCAGCCCCTCACATGTTTCCTACTTTTCCACCCTTGTCGCATGGTGTTCTTCACGTGAAGAAACCAACAGGTTGATGACTCCGAAGCGGAAATTATTGACTCTGACTCTGACCCTGACTCCGAGTCCTCCTTTGATCCATCTTCAGAGGCGGCGGATCTTTTTCATTTCACATGTCTCTTAATATTTTTTGAAACAGTTTATCAGATCCAAGTGCAAAAAATGGTCCAGAAAGAGCTTTGGTGGCTTGCTTTAGACCGTACCTACTTGAGGTGGAAGCGGCGGAATCGTCCAGCTCAGAATGCCTGTATCTTGGTTCTCGATTTTCTTCCTTTACTACATATTGGAACAGCTTGAGCTGTCACATGTCATATCCTTGCTGTAGATGTGGGCTATCGTGGAAGGCGTCCAAAGAGGTGGGTTCGCACATGTTGCTGACTGATGTTCCTTGGTTCCAATCCATGGCCAGGAACAGGGTTTGGTCACCATACCGAGGTGCATAGGGGGGTGCAGACTGAGCGCTTCGTGCAAGATGACATGTTGGTCCTTGATGTTGGCAAAAAAATATATAATATCATATATATATACATAATATATACTTTGGTTTGCAGACCCCTTCATTGCATTGCTACGCTGCAACCGGACCAAGATAGACTGAGACAGACAGATCATCAGATCCTATCTTTTCGTCCATGAGTGGTAACTGCAATCAGTCCTTTTCCCAGTCCCAGAAATGATGCAATGTCCTTGGATTGAGCAAAAGGACACTTCAAGCCTGTTCAAATTTGAATGGAGTCAAGAGCAATGCCAAAGTTCTGAGATGTGCAACAACTGCGTTGGCAACAAGATGGAAACATATCTCGTGTTCCAGCCATTTCGAAGGTCCGCAGATTCGCAGCAAGGGACTACAAAAGTGCGCAGCCACAGTTGTACGTGCTGCAGCATGTTCCTTTCTGTTGCTTGCCATGTGGACTTCTTTCAACGAAGCAAGTCATGGGAAGCACGATGCACTGTGAGTCTTGATGGTGATTCCGAGCTGAGAGGCTAGTTCACAGAAGAAAATGTATGCTTGCTCTGCTCTAGCAATACATATATATACATGTATATATATATACTTATTTATTTATTTATTTATGTATTTATGTATTTATTTATTTACCTATGTATACTATATACTATATGCATATATATATATATATATATTATATCATTTGTGCCAACAGCTGTGGCAGGTACCAGGAAGTTCCAAGTGATGTGAGCACAGGGATCAGTTACTCGGCAGACTGTTTGCTTGTGTGCATCTGTGGTCAGAGGTTCGGAATTGTACGAGGCAAATGAATTGGCATTTTGCGCGTTTCTATTAGGTTATATTCGAGTCGCTTCTCCACCCCATTATATGGAACTTGTGCGATTTCCTAGGCAGTGGTAGCAGTGCTAGCAGTGGAAGCAGCTCTCGCTTTCCAGCTCCTCGGCCTTTCATTCTGGTTTTGTGGTGCAGTTCAAGATGGGTCTTTCCAAAATGGGGTACCTCGTACCTCTAAGACCTCATGGTTAAATGTCAATTTCCCTTTTGGTGTATGATCTATTTTTGGACAATCCCAAATCATATTGTTGGTTGCACAATATCGGCATATCCCATTATTTTCCGACAAACCTGTATATTATGTTCAACTAGTTGTGTATGTGACTATATCCCCATAATACACTTGGTTATATATTTTTTGGCGCTGACTTTCCCATGAAAAAAACCCATCAGTTGTGCGATTCCAGGAGACCGGCTGGGCAGCCTCGATGTTTGAACCCCTCCGGCAGAGACTTGTCTACATTTGAGCAGTGTTCAAAACCCCTGTTGGTTGATGATTATGAGGGATTTTATGAGGGATTATACTACCCAATATATTGGGGATTATAATAATCCAATAGGGGAATCCCTATTAACCGATCCGCGCCTGGTAGCAGTAGTTGCTCGATTTTGTCAACTTCTCACTTTTTTATTTCCTCGGATTCGTGGTCATGATCGCGAGCTCCTGGTTGTGTTTTTCCTGGCTGATGCCTCTTTCCCCTTTCTGGCCCTGCTACCCAACTTCTTGTCCCTGCACATAATGGGACATGAGGATTGCCTCGCATGGTCCGTGCTTGCCTGACTGTTTCCCCTTTGTTTGTCCAGCATTTACGGAGCTGTGCGGATTGACTCGCACATGTCAACGGCAGCGCTTTCTTTTCCACAGCTCCCCATACGTGGTGGGTGGTCTTTAGCTGGGAGAGGAATGATGTTCTGCTGACGGTACCAGTATTGGTTCCTGGTTCCGTTTTTTTTTTGTTTCCTTTGATATGGAGGCAAAATAGGAGTTAGAAAATCAAAAACTGAAAATACCTGGGTTTGCCCAAAACATTAATGGAATCCACCCGACATTTTACAATGAAAACAATTGGAACACGATGTTTTTTCCCCACGTAACAGGTCCGAAACATTGGTGGTGAGATTGTCCCAGTTCTTCAAACGTGGGAAGATGATGCAAGACCTTTGTTTCTGCCATGCCAAGTACGTGTAGCGACGATTCCTTCTGGCCTTGATGATGTTTCTTGTGCTATTTTCTGACTGAAATCGAGACTTGATGCACATGCTTGAGCAATTTCATCTAAGGCATTTCACTGCAGCTGCAAGAGCAGGAGCGAATGATTCAAACTCAAACCCAACTCCCACGGATATTTTAAAGATATGAAACAAAAACATATACAAATATTATGAAACTGCCTCCATCTGTCAATGGTTCCTGCAGTGTATATTTCAGGAAGGGTGTTCTGCTCCATCTCCAGGACTCGGCTCTCGTCCCTTGAGATTTGGCACTGACTGCTCTGGTGCTGAGGTGCGTCGATTTCGCCGCTGATTTTGCCCTGTTTGGTCGACATGTCTCGACATGTCCAGGCACCATGGTTTGCCCTCAAGGCCATATCCAGTGAGCTTGTCTGAACCTCAATGACTATGCTATGGCATTCTATGGCTTGGTAGAGGAAAGATCAAATGAGTCAAATGAGTTGGGTCAGATCCGGACTTGAAGTTTCAATAAGAGTAAATTTCTGCACCGAGCGATCTCTGGGAGCGCCGTAACTTCATAACTCTCACAGGCAGCGCAGCTCTCCTTGAGTCTGGAGGTTCAACATCGATTTGTTCACATCTCAGGGCGGTGCTTCCGCTGGCGGTCAGTGAGTTAAGTCAGTTAAGTGTTACTCCGTGCACAATGTGTAAAGAATCATTCAATGAAACGATAGGTCCATGTTTGAGTTTCTGTGACTTTTTGTAAAGCAAGGATTGGAGTGGATCCCTTTGAAGCATTTTTCCTTTGCCAGTGCTCAAGACCCAGAGCACGTTGGGAGTGAGGATCAAATAGGATTCCAGTGTAGGTGCAACATTAGGCAGGCTTCAGAGACGATCAATGGTTCAATTTTTGTTGATACATTGAAAGCAGTGAAGACAATGTTACCCAGTGTTCACGGTACCATTGAAGCGATACGGTCTTCCAAGTCTTCGAGATAGTGAAGCTTGAAAACTCGATCCAAACAAGATCTCGTTCACACCCTGTTTTTTTATCCATGGCGTCGAACTCACTAAAGTCTGCGACTACCAAGAAGGTGATGAAGTCCACCTTCGCGAAGTCAATGAAGAAGTCTGGCGACAAGGAAGAGAGGACAGAGGAAAAGCAGAAGCTCAAGGCCATTGCGAGAAGGAAGAAGTACAGCACAATTGCCCGGCCAAGGGACTGGAAGCGCAAAGGCCATGCCTACAGAATCTCAGCTGCACTTCCGTAGAAAAAGCGGTCTTATGCAAATCTTTCTTGAAATTAGTGGCCTCCTAAAGATGTTGGTGTCAAAATAGATGTTGTTGTCCCCTCCTCGAGTGATCTGATTTTACCATAAGAGAGGTGCTTCGGAAATTTGCGTGAGACTCTTCCACCTGTGTCCCAGCACTGAATTGCAAATCGACCCATCAACAAATTCAGTGACCAGTCGCTAGGTCCGCTAGGTAGTGGCATAGGAAGGGGAAACGGACATTCCTTAAGTTTGAACCCCGCAAAGCCCTGAGGTTGTGAGTATGATAGTGGTGAAACACTGGCACAAGGTGAGATGGTATGGTATTGGCTTTGTCACAACTATTTATCCCCTATAATGCTTTGGCTTCAATCTCGTTGGAAAGAATTTTGATACAGAATACGACTTCAGAAGGTGATCAGCTGCTGAAACAGACACCAAAACAGTTTGTGCCATTTGTTTTTCCTGTTGGTGGCTACCCATTAGATTTCAATGAATAGCTATTGCTCGTTGCCCAACTCAGGATTGGTGTTCGAGGGCAAGAAGAAGAAGAAGACGTCTGGTGGTCTCACAAAACAAGACATTCGCAAAAACAAGCGTGGCCGATGTGTTTCCAAAAGACGAAGTGACCTGGCAAAGAAGAGTTTTAAAGAAAATGGCCTGGAAGCATGGATGGAGTCATTCATGAACACCCGGCAACAGATGGGCGTGAAGGGATTCATTGCCGTTCAGAAGGGAAGCCAGTTATACAAAAACACGGTGGAGAGCTATGTGAAAACACAGCTCAGCAGACAACAACAGATGTTGCGCCGGGCCGGTTCCACTTTGAACGTTGGCTTCACTGGTGAACAAGCGCCACCGCCACAGCAATCGCAGCCACCACAGCCTGGACTGCGACTTGAGCGACAGCGAGGATCTCCAGAGGATCCGCCTGAGGAAGGAAGTGGTGTGGCATGGCCGTTCAACTGACGGCGAAATGCTTTTGAAAGTGGATTGTTGGGCGAACCTTTGTGGCAATGTCTGGGCCTTTTCATGGACATGCCGTAGTGGCCCATGGATAGTGTTTATGTGAAGTGTGAAGGATTGGTAGCTAAACATGTATTTGATGCCGATTTGGCACTTGACAGCAAAAAGGGTGCTTCGACACGATCTGCTGCGAAAGTTGAAAGTGTATGTGAACTTGTTTGTGGCGCTTTTTTTTGAAAGTCGATTAGTGTCTTCAAAGATGAATTTGATGTTCAGGTCGACTTTGCATGTGCCTGTGACTGTTTGTAAGTCGTTTGGATGTAATTTCATCTTGTGGGTAAGGCATGCGACATTCAAGCAGTGTCGCGGCAATTCATTGTCTGGAACTTGGAAACGGTTTTTGTCAAAAGCATTTCAAACTTCCTCGATCAGGGATGTGCGCATTTTGCCAGCTAAGTGTGCATCTGTTGTGGACACGATTGATTTCAACCAATTCTACAGATTTCAATCCAGTTTTCGCACGAAACCAACTCAGTCACAGTCTTGAGTAGCTTTGAGACACGTATTGGTGTAGGGGCAACTTTGTGAATTTGCTGTTTATGGCATCATCTTTTCTGAGGTCCAGAACTCACAGCCATGGGTTCTTTTTTCAGACCTCCTGGAGCGACTGGATACCGGATACTGCTCCGATCTCAAGGGGGTTGGTGTGGGGGGGCATTATATAGCTGTCATGCAACAAAGCGGGCATCGTTTGTTCTGTTAATTTGTCAGTTCCTCACCAAACTCAAGGGGACACAACGTTGATTCTATTGTTGCACTACTATTACTACTAATAACTACTATCACATTCTATCACTATTAATGTATATATATATATATGTTGTGTGTTTCCTAAATATTGTAACTGTCAGTAAAAAGGTTCCTTACTAAAGACCCCCGAAAAATGAGCACCATAAAATCAAGTTATTTTTCTTCAAGGATTGTTGGGCCTGGGGACATGTTCAATTTTTTTGCTTAAGGATTATTTCAAAGTGGGACCATGGTTCAAAAATTGGGAAACAAAGCCCTTCCATTCTGCTCAATGTAGACATGTGGTGGTTTGCACACATCAGATTAGGAGAAAGAGGACATGGGAATCACCTCTCAAAGCCATCTGGGATTGGGAATCACAACCATATCAAGTATCAAACATGAATCATACATTATCCAAACTTCCCATCAAACTTCATCTACTAGTTTGCCAGGTTTGCTGCTGTGCTGGAGCAAGAATTATATAGCTGCTTTTTTCAGTTTGGCGTGCACCAAATCGTGCTCCAACGCGTGCTTTTCCTCGCCGTCTGTCGTGCACCAAATCGTGTTCTCCTTTGTGGTTCCTGGCCTGGTGTGTCTTTTCGGAAATTGTTGCTGGTGGTTTCTCTGCAATGTTTGCGATCTTCAATCTTTCATGAAGGTATTGACTATTGGTAGTGGTACTGACTGGTACTGACAAAACTTGAGGATTGCTACTTGTATTTTGAATTGATTTCTTCGTGCACCAAATGGCGCTAAAAAAGCGTGCTTTTCCTAATATAAGTTTAAATAGAAGAAACACCAAAGATACCACCATTTAGAGCACCATATTTTCCTTTCAGAAAAAAACTGCTTCAATCACATGTGAAATCAATCGGAACCGGATGTCCAGTAAATTGTTTCCTCTGTCGTGCACCAAATCGTGCTCCAATGCGTGCTTTTTTTCAGGGTTTCTCGTGCACCAAATCGTGCTCCAATTCGTGTTTTTTTTTTTTCCGCGGTTTGTTGTGCACCAAATCGTGCTCCAATTCGTGTTTTTATTCGCGGTTTGTCGTGCACCAAATCGTGCTCCAATTCGTGTTTTTATTCGCGGTTTGTCGTGCGCCAAATCGTGCTGTATGGTCTCAATTATGTTGAAAGTCCGTGCTTTTGTTAATGTTTTAGTCCTGCTCTGAAAAGGAAAAAAGTGCGGTAAAACCAAAAACTGGCGGTTTTGTATTGTTTTCCTCTTCGGAGCTTAGGCTAGGATCTGGCCGGAGCTAAGCCAGCCGCCAAAACCTAGAAAAATATTTAATATTGAATAATTATATAAATATATTGAAAATTGAATACTGTATTTAATTCTAGTTCCAATCACAAAACATATCATATTGGCACATAGGAGATTTACATACTTGATTTTGGTTATTTTTATCGTGCTCCAAATGGTGCCCCATTTCGTGCCAATGATACAATATTTAGGCCATACACAGTATATAATATATATAATATGTTATGCAGGTATATATATATATTGCATGTACACAAATTTGAAATATTTTTCGTTCAAAGATTGCAAGGCTTCCAGGGTCGAAAGGACATCCTTCACCAAGGCTTACAGGCCAAGATGATGGTGCCAGTCCCGAGCCAGTTGGACCTTTATGTGGCAGGCTTTCCATGCAAGGAGAAGCGGAGGAAGCTGGTCATGTAGAAACACAGTCCCTCCAGTGATTTGGTGATCAAATATATTGTGTGTACATATACATTTCAAGCATGACAGAATTGACTCTCGACAGTATTGAAGACTTTGAAGATCGCTGGATTGTTTTTAGAACGGGAATTGACAGCAGATCTCAGTTCGTTTGAACTGTGGTCATGACAGTGTCTGCAGGATTTCTCCATCTTGAACTCCAATCGTCCTTGTCTACAGGGACCACATGCTTCAACTTTCCATGGTGTCGTCAGGAGTCTCAGCAAAAACATTTCGCCCAGCAGATTCTTACCCCATCCATTGCGCTGCTGCTCTTGCCACAGAAGAAGCTAGTTGCAGCAGTGCTGGAATTTTTGTTAGGCAGAGCGTGAGAATGTGAGAATGGATTCAACAAGGTGTTTTGAGAGGTGCATTGAACCTGTTCCCTGTAGTACATTATAATTGACATTGGGGAGGAACCAATGCTTCTGTCCCTCCAGCCATAGCTCCGTATGAATCCAAGGTTTTTGGATCCCTCGTTAGGTGTGAGGAATGGCTGGTGAGTTTTTCCATGGAAACTGCCGAGGTGGAGTACATCAAGAGGCCTGGAGCCTAGCGCCATTTTCGGCATGATCATTGTGCCGAAGACATCCAGGCATTCAAACAGAAACCTGATTTTTTGATGAATCTATCCTTAGTGCCTTCTGATTTCCATTGTTTTCATTAGTTTCCTGGTGACTATCTATCAATTCGACATGATTTCAAGGTGCCAATGAAAAAATGTTGAGCAGTCTTGCATACAAACAGATCAACCTGGAGGTGGTTTTTCAGCACACTTTTTTACGATTTGAGGCATCAGCCTGCCACTTTCCTGTTGGAGAATGTGCAAGGGCTCACCATGAAGAAGAAGGGGCAAGCCAAGGTCCGGTCGTGATGTTTAAGTGTGCCTCAGAATCCTGGTACCCTGGCGAACAGCATGGCTGGTTAATCGATGTTCACCACCCCTATTGTATCACAGGTTTTGACATCCCTGTCTATGATTGCTAGACATTCTACAAGAAACCCTAGTTTTGAATTTTGAATGGTACAAGACCAGGGTTTCTTAAAAAACCTAAAAGAAATCCTTTCATCTTGCTGGTTGAACATGTAGAGCAAATTCCTGGCGTCAGGCACCAATCACAGAGGTGATGGAGATTCTACGGAGCTTGGAGGGCTATCAGGTTCGATTGGGGTCGTACATGGCAACATCAATTGCAAAAAGTTCTGGAAAGGGAATAAAGGAATATAAAGGAGAGATTTTCTGTGAAAGGTTCGAAAGGTACTCACAAATTGAGACATTCCTTAACTTGAGTTGCTCCGAGTCATCGGTGACGTGGGCGATTGTTTCATAATGCCTTTCAGGGTCTCATGTTCTTTCCGAAGATTTTTCTGCGTGTTTGTGTCGTTCCGGTATTCTTACGGCTGCTTGTGAAGCAAACTTTGACAAATCACCACCTCAATATCTCTGAGGCCAACTTGGAGGAGGAGGTTCCCCTTCCCACTTGTCTTTTCAGTGTCTTGCGATGTCAGGTGAAGGGTTGGAGTGTGAACTCCTTCAACTACCATTTGCCTCAAAACCGCATGCGAGCCGCTTGGCTGCGACGGGTTGCGTTTCTGGCTTGCTGCGTCTGAAAAAGGGATATCAGGGTATGCCAAAAACATTATTGATGCTTAATATATGTTAATATCCCCATACAGTGGACCTGGTATATCCCCATGTTTGATGATGAACATCTCCATACAACCAAATTTTTGATGCTAAATATTCCCATATATATATATGATATATCCCTGGTGTTGCAGTTGACTTAGCTGATCCACATAGCCAAGGTCTACATCGTGGGCGTTCACTGCCGTGCCAAGCTGCTTCTGCCGCTGGACGCATGGAGCTCGTACATCAGAGAAGACATGGCCTGTGAGCCGCAGGCTGGAGACAGCTGGGGAAGGGAGCGAGGTGGGGGAGAGAATTTTTTGGGGGTGTGGAGGGGGGGAAGGTAGTTTCTGTTTCAGAAACCTGGAAAAAATGGATCCGCAAAAAGTTGTTCCTGTGGCTAAAGGAGGTATTCCCAAAGCGTTTACTATTAGTGCAGTTGACGCGGAGCACTGCATGTCGCCCTCGCAAGCTGGGTCCAGATGGTCCAGGTGCCAGCTCACTCCTTCTTGCTAGATGATGCAGAAGTGGAGGTTCAGGCTGAACTGGAGAGTTTTTGGGCTGCAGAATATTGTGTTCCCAGCTGGGAGGACCTGCTTCAGCCCGGTTTACAGATCCTGCAGACAGTACACATTTTCGAGACAAGCAGCCATCCAACCAAGGGCTCGAAACTTATCGGGCAGAACATGGAAGGACCGTGTGTATGCCTTTTCACCTTCTCTGAAAGTCTCTGCGTTGCTTTGCTTTTTGCTGTCTTAAAGTTCACAGGGCTTTGAAAGCCGAAGCCACCTGCCCACTGCATGACTCCGAGTATGGACAGATGTCGAGTCATTTTTTCCTTGCCCCCTGTAGGACGGAGATCGCTGGCCGAGAAGGACTATGAAGGGATTGATCTTTTTGTAGCCATGAGGTTGCAAGCAATGCCCAGTGCAGGACGGTGGAAAGCAACACATGACAACCTCCGAAAGGAACTGGGTGTGAGGCATGGAGATATTTGGTCATTTGCGCGCCAGCTGAATCCTGATCTTTTCCAGTGTCCACTAATGTCCACTGTAGCTGTCACTCAAACTGAGAGGCCAGATGAGGGTCCATTGATCCCAAAGGGATGCGGTTGGTCCCGATTTCTCAGCCAGCGGACACAGGCACACAGTGGCGCACAGGGATTGCGACAAGCGAACTCCATTGCCTCCCCTAGGCCCCTAGAAGACTCGGGTCAATGTATCACAGGAGTCCCAGCCTGCATGAGTTTGAAATTGTTTGTAAGATCATAGCTTGATGATGCTTGATGTATACTTTCTTCCAATCCTGGTTTGAAGTCTTACCCAGTTGCAGGGCTCGTGCCAAGGTTTTGAAGGGGCCTTAAGGTCCGTTTTAACACCCTTGAAGACAGTGTCGTCGTCATGGCAGGATACACTGGAATTGCAAGCTTTCCGCATGGCCAAAAAGCAGGCTGCTGTCCACCATGCTGCTGTCCACCTAGCCGCACAAGACTGCAGAACTCAAGGGCGAGTCCAAAAGCCCAAGTAAAACATGTAGGGTAAATATGGGTAAATGCTAGGCACGCTTTGATTTCTTGTCCGATGGGGCTTCCCCTCCAGACTGGCGTCAGGGAAGCATAGATGCCAAGGATGTTGCATCTTCGTATGCCTGGCACGTCTGCGGCACGCGAGTTTTCACCAATGCAAGACTTCCGCATTTGAATCTCGTTGCTTGGCCAGGAAATTCTTTGCAGAGATTTCGCGAAGCGTTCTCTATGGCTCCTTCCGAGAATCCCAGACACCCTGTCCCTCGGTGGAATTGAGCGGCCGATCCCATGAAGGGATTCCTGGCATCTTAGGTTTGTCCTTCAGGAAGTCTGTTTTGGATCTATTCTATCTAATTTTGCATGCTTCTTGCGCAGCGAATTGGCAAATGTTTTGGAAAGGGGATGCATTTGAGCTTTTCAGCAGGACGCTTGGACCAGTTTCCCAAAGATCAAGTACAAATCTGATGCCTCCAGGTCTTACACCTGGAAGCCGCATTTGGATCTTCAACAAACAGAGGCTGTGGATGGCACTGCAGTTGGAAATAGGATTTGGGGTCCAGACAAATGCAGAGACTCAGTGAGGAGACAAATGTACACATTGTACACTCGCTGTTTCAACATTTTCAACTCACATCATCTAAGAACGGCCTATGAGAGCTTTGGATAGCACGACATGAAGATAATTATAATAATTGTCCCTTAGTGGGAATGGCACACGGCAAGTTGTGCTGATCCTTGCATGTTGATATGAGCCAAGAGATGCAAAGTTAGTGGAATATCCCCAGGTTTCACCGTGAAATCCCCAGGTTTCGTTGTGGGTGAACTGTCCAATGTGGCGCGCTACGCCAGGTGGCTGATTGGTCCTGAGATGCTGGCGCTGCAGGGTTTCCCTGTCGATGAGCTCAACCTGGAGGGCATCAAAGATCAGCAACTGCGATTGCTGGCAGGTGGAGCAACTGGATGTCATAAATTTCTACTGGGTAGATTAAAATACTATACGTAGTAGATGTATGTAGATGTTACAAAATACCACTGGGTAGATTAGTAGATGTTACCAATTTATATATTTGTTAGTAACTTTGTAACACCGTCATCAATGTTGGGAATGGGTTAAAACCTTCTATACCATTACTATGGGGGATGAACATCTAGTTCCCAGCCATTTTAAGGTGTTCACCAGGATACCAGGATTTTGACCCATGGCAGCCATAGCAACTTCGAGTCATTCCGGTGCCAGGGAATGCGATGTCAGTGCCGGTTGTTGGGCTGTTTCTGTGCCCTACCCCCCATTGCTGCTGAGAAGCCACTGGGATTCTGAACAGATGTTCTTCGCGGCCGTTTCGCTGGCGGATGGGGTCAGGTACCTGATCTTGGCCTTTGTCCAGTTTGATGGCGAACCCCTTGCTGAGCCAGGGTGCCCAGATGTGCCCGTCACTGTAGCTGTTGCTGTTACATGTGCTGTGCGGAGCCCAATTTGAAGTGGGAATCTGTTTGACATTGTTTGACCATACTGATGATGCTGTTTGGGGGCGACATGCTGTTCTATTGGACGCGTTGGACTTTTGTTTTGTATCACTACGCACAAGCAGCTAGGAAAGAAATTTGAACACTGTAACTCTTACATTTGCAAACGAAGATTGTCTGAAGTTTCCCACGGCAGAACGCCGATGTTTCTTGCTCCACACTTTGCTGCTCCGACAAGGACTTTGGACTAAGTTGGTCACATCCACTTCTTTGTCGGAATGGTGCTGGGTACTGCAAGGTGCGCTGTCAGGTTGTGTTACCAAAATGAATCAGAAATTGCTGCCTTCCGCATCCTTTGGCAAAGCGAAGGGGCTTCACACATGTTTGAACAAGATCAAGAAAGAGGTTGATGGCCCTGATGGCTCTGATTGCTTGGATGGCTCTCACTTGTCAGGTCTTGGCCTTGTGGAAGGCCATTCAGATTTTGAGAGCTCGCAGAGCTTTGAATCCTGATCCATGTCGATGCCGCGAGACCAGGGAGCTCTCTACAATCTTGACGTCTTGAAACCAGTTTGGGGCATGGGATTTAATCCTCTTGCGAGACTGTTTGGGCACGAGTTTGCCTCAGAACGCTGTGGATCCGAAGCTTACTATGACTCTACATGGGATCGGGCCACTTTGCCTCCAATTCACGCCTTGCGTGGCGAACCTATTCTTGGGTTCACTGGAACGACAACCCGCGACAAAGTCGCTTCCAGTATCGTGCATCAGTGGATGACAATCTTGCCACCACAAGTCTATTCACCGGCAAGGTAAGGCTTGAGGCAAAGATTGTGATCTTATGTCTTTCTATCGTCAATGTTCACAACTTTCGCTTTTCCTATCCTTGAAAACAAGACGAAATTGGAGGAACCGCGGAGCACACGGGCTTTGACAGCGGATGGAATCAAACATTTTGTCCTCTGTGAATGATGTTTTCAACATTTTTCAACTATATCTGCTTTGCTCTTCGGCTGCTTGGCTTGGGATCCAGATCAGGTTGACCCCATTGCCATTTCAACCATCAATGCGGCCCCTTGTTGGACTATTTGGGCTCAGAGCGGCGCTGCTGAAGCGGAAGAGGGAGCAGAGGCACAGTCTTCCGTCAATTTCCATTGCTTTTAGAATTCAGGTCTGCTATTTGCCTTGATGATCTTGATGTGTACTTGAGCTTGATGAAGATCCCTTGAACATGTGATCCCAGAAATTATTAGCAATGACAGCAGTGGGTCAGTATGAGTAGAATGGGTACGGAAGTGGTGTCTTCCGATTCTCATCCGCACTGATATCTGGAGGCGTCATGTATTTTGAAGCGAGCAAATATCATCATCATCATCATCATCATCATCATCATCATCCTCATCCTCATCCTCATCCTCATCTTCATCCATCATCATCATCATCATCATCATCATCCTCATCCTCATCCTCATCCTCCTCCTCCTCCTCCAATGTTTGGAGTTTCTTATTTGACGGGTTTCTTTTTGGTAAGATTGGGCACCTTTCAGGGTCCTGTACAGTTGGTCTGACACTGCAGGGGCTCCCTCGCCATGATCAAGTGTATCCTGGTCTGAACCACAGATTGGTGGAGTGGAGCCTTTCCGTTTTGGTTCTTATCACCGTTTGACAGCAGAAAGACGAACTGCTTCAACTGCTTTGCGTGGTTTTGTGTGGACCCTGTGCGGACAGTTGCTCGTAAGGGCCCAAACGGGATTGAATTTTCCAAGTGGCGGACCCCAAAGACCAGTTCTGGTGCGTTTCAAGTTCTTTACACTTTCGTGGTTTGGAGTGGGTGTTGCCAATAAAACATAGTAAAACCATATCGCACCACTTGTAGCTGCGGTGTTTAAAGAAACAGATGACAGTGAGAACCATGATGCATCTGTCAAGTCTACCATTTCAGGTCTGGGGTACTTGGATCTGAAAATAGATCGAATTACGTGTTGGCAAAGTCCGTAGAAGACAAACATGACAAACTTCCAAGGTGGTGAACAACCAGGCGGCTGCATTGGGGGGAGCCGGAGGCCAACAGATAAAGGACACTTCCGCTTAAGATACTATGGCCATCTATGGCCAATGTTGAACTTCAGAGTAACACAACGGATGATTGATGAGTATTTCACTATATTTCACTTATGTGTCTTATGTGTCACCAATTCCTGAGTTGCAGCACTGCACACCAGAACGAGGCGCACAAACGCAGTTTTGAGTTGCTCAAGCTGCAGATGTCCGTCAAGAGAATAAGGGGAACAGCATGGCCAATGAGTGACCTATGCAATGTCATTATTGATGAGCTACGAAATGACATGAAATTCATGGATTCTCCCAATTAACTGCCAGTTTTTTCCTGCTGCATCATGGTGCATGTACCAATGCCTGACTTGACGCTGGGTGATGTGATGGAGGTGATGAAAGAGGCCGGGACTGAAACATGATTTGACCGGGTAATTTTTCACGTTCCTGTCCTGAATGTTTTGCGGCACCATTGTTGCATCCATTGTATATCAAACTTTGAGTGGTCTATATGACAAGGCACATAGGTGAATAACGGTGAATACGTCTAGCATGCACTGTTCCGCATGTAAGACCTTTGTGGAGGCAAGGCTTTTTGAGTGGCAATAGTGCATTAGCACAGTTTGCAAGAAAGACACGTTGGTTTGTGTACGTACGCATGTGTATGTGTCTGTGTGTATATATATATGATATGCGGATTGGAGGTGGTTGCTCGAGAGAATGAGTAGATAGACCTAGAGATAGATCCAAGTAAATAGATTTATTAATCGATCGAGATTTGATGTGCTTGTGTACTTGCCAGGTCTATACGATGTGTTTGATGTGTGTAGAGTACAATTTGCAAAACACATACAGAGTCTACATCTACAGAGTGACAGGTTGGGACATTGTGCCAGGTGAAGATGGCACCGGGCAGTGGCTACCTTTCGGTAAAGCCTGGAGTTAAGGTGAAGGTGCTCTACATTGGTTCAGCGGACGAAGAAGGGTGCCCTGCAGAACTGGTGGAGTGCAAATGGACAGAGTAGAAAAGTGTGCTGTTATTTGACCTAGGCATGCTAGGCACTAAGCAATTCAGCAACTACGAGTCAGCAACTGCTCCGCGCAAGTCATATGTGGATGTCTGTAATCTTTATCACGAAATCCCCAAACCCAAGTGAAGCCGAGCAAAAGATTTCATGACTCAACTTTACGATTGGCATTCTGATCGCACCTGGGAAACAGAACTGCGGTGCTCTTACTCATTCTTATAGTGGGCACATCCGGACTTAGAGACCTTCACATGAAAACACATGTACAAATACACGAACAGAAAAGGTGCAAGTGGAAGAATGCTTCAGCTGCCTAATTCAAGGCAAACAAGCTGAACGGTTCATTATTTGTCAGAGTGCCAGCTGGCTTCGGGGTGTTGAGGTGGATCTTTGCAGAAACAGAGTCAGCTGAACGAGGATGGCTCAGCACAGATTCGGCAGCACCACGCGATGTACAGGTGTCATGGCTCCAGTAGGCGGATTTATGCATCGAACAAAGCTGACATGTTACTCTTGCGATTGAGATTTGCTGTTCCGATGTTTTTGCGCAGCTCAGAACTTGGAACGAAAGATTCAGCCGCATGTCATGACGGCGCTTCGCGGCTGGCTTCCTGAGCGGCCAGGGCATTTGCGGATCAGGAGCTGAACTGAGTCGAGCTGTAATGATACCATCGAGAATCAAGAACTCAAATGGTCTTAGATTATTGGTATACATATTGGTACGATTGATATCAAGGAAGCAACTTGGATGTACTCAAACGTAACTTGGAAGAGCTTGGAGGTACAAAACTAGAGTGGAAAGCGCAGACAAGCCGAAGGTATGATGCCAGTGCACAGATTGAAGTGAGCATCACAGGAAGGGTGACCAGCTCTATGTCGAAAGACAAGAACCTGGCTGGCTGTACGGATTTGTGTCTCAAGGCACGCGAACAGGAAGCAAAGGTTCGTTGGAAAGGCCAAGTTCCATTGTAGGTCCATAGGATCCATGATCCATCAGGATAATCTGTGAAAACCGAGGGTAAGCTTGATCTGTGTGCAGGCACTTGTGGCTGGTTCTCGGCAGAGGTGCTGACAAAGCCTCCACCACCCAAGGGTGATTTGGCTACAGGAAAGACTCGATTTCTAATTTTACCTTGGAATGAATAGACTCTCACTGCCTGTTTTTGTTTCTGTTGTTTTCGCACCCGGTTGTTGGGAACATTCATCTTCTTGGCTTCAAAGAGTCTGCTGAAGTTGCTTAGCCGCTAAAGCCTGAATCTCCAACTCACTGATGCCAAGGTCCGAGACCTGGGGCTTTACTGCAGCCGAGATTGCCAGATTTCCTTGTGGGCCAAAGAGCCCCAAAAGTTCCCTGGAATTATGTCTTGGAAGATCGGGGTTGCTGCTTGGCAGCAAAGGAGATGATTTCGGCTGCAGGGAATGGCTTGAATGGGCTGTCCAGAAGTCTGGCATCAACTGCCTGCAGTTTTTCTCATAAAGATTTGTTCCCACCATGGCTCTTGAACACTTTTGCAAAGGTTTTGCGGCATCTTTGCCAGCAGAGAAGGTCGCATCCCTCCTGGGAAATGTGGAAAACAAGGTCCGCCCTGCTGCAGCAAACGGGTGTGATCTTTGCTTGACCAGCAGCCTTTTTTGTGGATTTGTAGAAGTATTTGGAGTGTTTGTCTAGAATTGAGAAGTTATGCACGTTCGAAAACAAGACTTGAAGAGAACTTTGATCCATTGGGGCCCGCTGAGCTGGAAATTTTGCGGATCCCAAAGATTCTTTGTGGGGCACTCGTTTTTTAAATTGATTCCGAAATCTGCCTGAATTCCCATTGGACATTGCACCTTCATTGTCTCCAGGCATGGGGCACCTACTGGGTAAAGCGGGTTGCGCAAGGCATTGAAGATTTGGGTGGTTTCGAGTCTTGCCACAGTGGAGCATCACCCCTAGAAGACATGACCAGGCCTTCAGATTCTTTTTGGGTCTTTTGGATGCGGAAAACTTTTTATAGCAATTTCGGTTTCCTCTCACCATAGATGGCATAGCTTCGAATAAGTACCTCATGGCACCTCATGTCCATTTATTTTTGAAGCTGGTTTGGCATCCCATGTCAGATTTCCCTCCGGTTGGTTGACAATAATGAGCATTCGCTTCATGGTGAGATTTTGAAGCTAAGTCCAAACACATCAAACAACACATTTTCGTTGGTACAGATCAATAAATCAAGTGGATGTGCAAATAAGATACTCGATAACGGTCGGCTCTCATCGCAGTTCAGAAATACATGTGGATGGGTCAAAACTTATGATACACTATATTACTGGTTACTATATCAATTTAATAGATATTTCGATGTGCGCTGTACCAGAGTTTTGATTCGCCCAAAGAATCCTTGTACAATGGACGATCCATGGTCGCTGTCGACATTAGGAGCGACCCTCTGGCCCTCTCGGCGTCATTGCCCGTGGTACCAAGTGGTTGGTCAAGGAAGGCTGCAGCTGCCCTTACCGCTACTCCGGCATGGTGGCCTGCCTGCAGATTCAAAGTTCAAAGATGACTTGAGTGCCAGAGAATCATGGGGTGCCAGGGGGTGCCAGTCAGTCAGTGTTTGTATCCATAGCTTCCATAGTTTTAAAACTGTGAAGGCACTGACATCCGCATGTCCTGTTCTCAGGAGGTGGACGCCAAACCCTTTCCTTCTTGGATGGATGACCTTCTGGAGCAGGTGATGTCACTTTGTGGTTTGAGAGAGGAGGACAGGCTGCCATCGAAATTCGGATAAGAAGCTTTTTGGTTGGTAGGATCTATTGAAATCTGTTGAAATCTAGTGCTATTCTTGTGGAGTCTTGAAGTTGAAAATATCAAGTCTTGTAGACCGGCAGGCTCTCGGATTTTATGATGGATCCTTGTACGGCCAATAGTCTCAGTAAGCACTCAGGAAGGGTTTCCCACTCGAAATCATATTCAACAGATTTACCATGATTTACCCAACCCTCTATAAAGGATTCTCATGATGGGATGATGTTTCCCATACCACATTCATCCCATGTAACTTGACCAGCACTGAAGGAGTGGCCCAATGCCTGCAACGTGAACCTGTACGTTGGCACTGATGGCCTATCCTGGCACGCAGATGTGGCTTCGTCTCGTCGCATTGCCAAGGGGCCAAGTAAGATGAGGTGAGTTGGGTTGACACACAAAATGGGGATCCAATCACCATTTGACAAGGACTATGGATCTATGTCTATGTCCACACCATGTATCTATATTTAGTCTATATTTAGTCTATATCTAGTCTATATCTAGTCTATATCTAGTCTATATCTAGTCTATATCTAGTTTATATCTAGTCTATATCTAGTCTATATCTAGTCTATATCTAGTCTATGTCTAGCCTATATCTAGTCTATATCTAGTCTATATCCAGTCTATATCTAGTCTATATCTAGTTTGTATCTAGTCTATATCTAGTCCATATCTAGTCTATGTCTAGCCTATATCTAGTCTATATCTAGTCTATATCCAGTGTATATCTAGTCTATATCTAGTCTATATCTAGTCTATATTTAGTCTATATCTAGTCTATATCTAGTATATATATATCTCTCTCTCTCTATCCCTCTATCTCTCTATCTCTCTATCTCTCTATCTCTCTATCTCTCTATCTCTCTATCTCTCTATCTCTCTATCTCTCTATCTCTCTATCTATCTATCTATCTCTCTCTATCTCTCTATCTCTCGATCTCTCTATCTCTCTATCTCTGTATCTCTCTCTCTCTCTCTGTATATATCTCTCTCTCTCTATCTCTCCCTCTCTCTATCTATCTATCTATTTATCTATCTATCTATCTATCTCTATCTATCTATCTATCTATCAGTCAATCAATCAATCAATCAATCAATCAAATCTATCTATCTATCTATCTATCCATCTATCCATCTATCCATCTATCCATCTATCCATCTATCCATCTATCCATCTATGTATCTATCCATCTATCTATCTATCTATCTTTATCTATCTATCTTTATCTATCTTTATCTATCTATCTTTATCTTTATCTTTATCTATCTATCTATCTTTATCTATCTTTATCTATCTTTATGTATCTTTATCTATCTTTATCTATCTTTATCTATCTATATCCATCTATCTATATCTATCTATATCTACCTATATCTATCTATATCTATCTATATCTATCTATATCTATCTATATCTATCTATATCTATCTATATCTATCTATATCTATCTATATCTATCTATATCTATCTATATGTATCTATATCTATCTATATCTATCTATATCTATCTATCTCTATCTATCTGTATCTATCTCTATCTATTTCTATCTATCTTTATCTATCTCTATCTATCTCTATCTATCTCTATCTATCTCTATCTCTATCTATCTCTATCTATCTTTATCTATCTCTATCTATCTCTATCTTTATCTATCTCTATCTTTATCTATCTCTATCTATCTCTATCTATCTCTATCTATCTCTACATATCTCTACATATCTCTATCTATCTCTATCTATCTTTACTTATCTCTATCTATCTCTATCTATCTCTATTTATCTTTATCTATCTCTATCTATCTCTATCTTTATCTATCTCTATCTATCTCTATCTATCTATCTATCTATCTCTATCTATCTCTACATATCTCTACATATCTCTATCTCTCTCTCTATCTCTATCTCTATCTATCTTCATCTATCTCTATCTTATTCTATCTTTCTCTGTCAATATCTATCTATCTCTATCTCTATCTCTCTCTATCTATTTCTATTTCTATCTCTATCTATCTCTATCTCTATCTCTATCCATCTATCCATCTATCCGTCTATCCATCTATCCATCTATCCATCTATCCATCTATCCATCTATCCATCTATCGATCTATCGATCTATCCATCTATGGATCTATCCATCTATGGATCTATCCATCTATGGATCTATCCATCCATGGATCTATCCATCTATCCATCTAATCTAATTTAATCTAATTTAATCTAATCTAGTCTAATCTAGTCTAATCTAATCTAATCTAATCTATCTACCTATCTATCTATCTATCTATCTATCTATCTATACCTATCTATACCTATCTGTACCTATCTATACCTATCTATACCTATCTATACCTATCTATACCTATCTATACCTATCTATACCAATCTATACCTATCTATACCTATCTATACCTATCTATACCTATCTATACCTATCTATACCTATCTATACCTATCTATACCTATCTATACCTATCTATACCTACTTATACCTATCTATACCCATCTATACCTATCTATACCTATCTATACCTATCTATACCTATCTATACCTATCTATATCTCTATCTATCTAATCTACCTTTATCTATCTATCTAATCTACCTTTATCTATCTATCTATCTATCTTTCTTTCTTTCTTTCTATCTTATCTATCTTATCTATCGATCCATCCATCCATCCATCCATCTATCTATCTATCTTTCCATCCATCCATCTATCCATCTATCCATCTATCCATCTATCCATCTATCCATCTATCCATCTATCCATCTATCCATCTATCCATCTATCCATCTATCCATCTATCCATCTATCTATCTACCTATCTATCTATCTATCTATCTATCTATCTATGTGTCTATGTGTCTATGTGTCTATGTGTCTATGTGTCGATGTATCTATGTGTCTATGTGTCTATGTGTCTATGTATCTATGTATCTATGTATCTATGTATGTACAGAAACAAAAAGCCTCTTCTTCCTGCCCTGCTTTGAAGTGAGGTAGTTGTTTCTGTCGTGCCCTACCTCGACATGTTGATGATAGATGCAAACTGTACTGGATCAAGCAACCATCATAGATCGAAAGCTCGACTTTCGAGGTATTGAACATGCCAGATTATTGTCTCCATGAACGGTTTAGCTGTTGCAATGGCTTACACTCATCTTCCTAAGGATGAGCCTTTGATGGAAACGGAAGATGGAAACTGCTGTATCATCTCACTTTCACTCGGCCAGGAGGGTTTTTGAGAGTCCGGAAGCTTCGGTTGGCTAAGTTGACTTGAAAGAGACTTCAGTCTTTTGGCTTAGCAGTTTCTAGTCAGCCTCTCTGTGAACCACTAGGTCAGTAGGTCCAATCATTTTCTTCAGTTTGTCATCAAGCAGGACATATCCAACACATGTCTGCCCCAGCCTAAACATCAAACGAGAGGAAACTGCCTTCCCACAGCCTTCCGACAGCAGGAGCGACCCTTCCAGCTGAAACCCAACGAAAGCCAGGTGGGAGTTCTGGCTCTGAAGGGATGTCCTCATCGGTGTCCATGGGACAATTCATGCAAGGATCATTCCACGGTTTGGCATCAGCTATGCTTTCAAGCTACGAGCTTGATTGTTTCTTGGACTTAGTTTCTCAGTGTGATGTTCAAGCTAGCCATTGGCATTGAGGGAAGGACTGCGTTTGCCTGCAGCTTTTAGCATTTGGAGTCAAAGAAGCTCAACAACAGGATCTGATATGCAAATGTGATCCTTGCCTGGAATAACACTTCAGGGTTGGTAAAAAATCGATTACGTTGGTAGACTTACAATCCTTAGCATTGTCCATGGATGCTAAAAGTTTGATTCAAGATTTGCATTGCGGGTGATACTCCAAAGAAGTATCCATTTGCCCATTGTGGTATGGGTAAATACTAAAGGTGACACGTAGTTTGTGGGTTTGTATTTATCTTACAATTGTATCTAAGTCTATATGTAATGTACACATCGTATTATATATAAGAACATGTCTCAACACACACATATATATATATATATAGATAGATAGATAGATAGATAGATAGAGATAGATAGATAGAGATAGATAGATAGATAGATAGATAGATAGATAGAGATAGATAGATAGATAGAGATAGATAGAGATAGATAGATAGATAGATAGAGATAGATAGATAGATAGAGATAGATAGAGATAGATAGATAGATAGATAGATAGAGATAGATAGATAGATAGAGATAGATAGATAGATAGATAGATAGATAGATAGATATATATATGTAGATATGTATAGATATATTTTTCAAAACGTGTATCTTGGCACCCACACTACTTAGCCACAGCCATTTCTTACATTGCAGCTGGCAGCTTCTGCGCCTTGGCGCCGAGCCTGCGGGCCCCTGTTTGCCATGCGGCGCTTGGCAGAGCTGATGGGATGGACTGGATGGGTTCCCAGCAGAGAGATCCATGGCTGCGAAAAGCTACGATTAAAAAGGGGAGTATTTCTGAAGGGGATTGGGGGGAGAATGATTTTTCCAAATGGATGGGGATGGTAATTGTTTGAAGGATTCGGAACCCAGGATCTGGGAATATTGAAGAGCTCTGGTTGAAACGAAACAGAACTACTTGGGTTTGGGGACTTTGGGATGGATTATTGGGAATGGGTCAAGACCTACTATTCCATACTATTCCTATATTTGGGGTGACCGTCCATAAATAGGGTGCAGAAGGGTACCCGGGTGTGAACCACAAACCCCCATTGAAAATACTCTGGTTGAAACAGCGCATTTTTTTATTGGGATGGCATTGGGATGCAGCTTCAAGAACTTGGACTCGGATTTTATACCCTTTTGCAGGCTATGCATCCTTTATCAATGGATTGGATTAAGGGGAAATCTATAGGACACCATGGTTTCTACCACTTGCGATTCGAGGGTCTGCAACGGCCATTTTTCCCATCTGAATTGAGCTTTCCGTCGCTTTCTCCCAGGACGCAGATTGTACCTGTCGCCATGCCATCAGAGCTGAGTTTGCGCTTTGCAGAATTTGTGCCCACCTGGCGGCACCGCGCTGTGAGTTTCTTGAATTGTTGAAGAATGACGGGGAAAAAACACATGTGATGGGCGGTCATTATTTTTCATATTCAACATCACCATTTGTGGGTAGACTCCGGGTAGACCTAATTTTCAGACAGACCCCAATTGGTGCTGGTACTGCAACTCCTCTTATGCAAGCAACCTCTTTTGTGGCTGCGGTAGGAACCAGTCAAGGCGCGAAATCTGCGATTGATGATGATTTATGCCCCCCTCATGGTCCAATGGTCCCAGCCATTCCCAGGCTGCCAGGCTTCTCCCTTTTTCCTTCTCCTTTGAGGCAAAACGTGGCATCGGACCATCATCCGCATGCGGCTGAAGCAGGCCTTGGACCCCAAAGAGACTTGGAGCATGACCCAACTGCTGCGAGTTTCCTGTTCCTATTTCGAGGGCGGCTCTGACTACTTGGCCCGTCGCCTCAAATTGGGTCCGCCATGTGAAGAGCTCAGCGGTACAGCAGAGGCCATCTTGCTTCAGGGCAACGTGGATGGGCCAGAGCCCTGCGAATTGGCACGGGGTGAAGGATGCTACCAATGTGAAATGCACAAAGAACAGGCCATGTTGCGAATTCAACTGGTTCGGGTCTCTGGTGTTGGAGCTGGACCAGACAGTCGAGAAGAACTTTTGGTTCCCGTGGTGAAAGCCTTGTTCCAGAGATTTTAATGTACAGGTCCTCAGCTGGGCTTCAGGGCTCCTCGGCTCTTTGCAATCTTCACAGAACTCACTGGCACAGCACAGCCTGAAAGGCTCAGGAGATGGAGAGATTCCCTTTGAAAGATGTGCAGCATGCGTGGATGCCGACATTGCTGAGGTCTTCCCCAAAATTCTGGAACTGCCCAGACTCTGAAGCAATCGTGAAATGTCAAACTGATGATATAGGTTATTAAGTGCTTGGCATTCTAGACCAGATCTTCACTGTTTTTTTAAAAGTCGTTTGAAAGTCTTTTAATATGGTGCAAACCTGCGAAAGCTCAAGATACTCAAGATGCCTTCAGCCAATGCCAGGAGGCCACGCACGAACTGATCTTGGGTGGTGGTGCTTTGTGCACCATGGAGGGCCAGACTCAAAGGCGGGAAGGGCTTGGACCAAGTGCTTAGCCAGAATGAAGATCGTTGTATTTACCAGGATTAGGCCGGTGTCAACATCCAATTCTGTATATAAAAAGAACCATTCCTGAAAGTTGCGGTGTTTCTACCACATCTGGCACCTGGTTTCAAGAAGATGCCATGTGCTGACCATTCTTTTAGGCTCAAAAGGGCAGCCCACGGCACTGCTGCACTCACTCTGACGCATCGCCTCCTCGGCTGCCTCGCCAGCTGATGTCGTTGGGCATTGCGGAGCTCTTGTCTGATCCCGGCACCATGAGCAGCGCCGAATCGGAGGCCATCTTGGAGGCCCTGTCCACCAGGCGTTGGGGCGGAGACACGGGATGGACAGCTGATGCTGTGGCAGAAGCGGTGAAGCACTTGGGCTACCTGGCAGTCACTGTGATCTCTGAATCTGAGGTGTACAGCTCCATTGGAACAAAGAGTATCAAGGTCAGAGTGGGCACAGGCAGGGCTTGCCCTTCGGCCAGTCCTTATTCTGACTGCGTGTTTACGGGCACCATGGATGTTTGGGTTATTGTTGTGTGAAATTGATACAGTAAGGTCTCATCTCACCATCCAAGTTTGCTTGTTCATCATGTAGTTGTTGGTCAATCAGCTGTGGATTTGCTTCCGGTCTGCACAAAGGAGATACCGGTTTGCGTTCATCCAAAGCGTCTTCAATTCAAATGATGCTGCCACACACTCCTAGAGCACATGCATGGTTAACCGGTGATGGAGACATCTGTATCAGTGTGTGATATTCATCTGGAAAAAAAGGGCATCAATCCATGGGTGACTCGCAAGTGGAGTAGTTTGAAGTCCGCAAATTTGCACTGCAAAGTAGTCGCCTGCCATTGATTAAGAGGTTGACATCTCCTGTGAGAGTTTGGAAAAAAAAAGGCGAAGGTTCTTGGACTGCAGGAAAAAGGGTGCTCATGCGGATGCAGGACAACCATGGCTGGGCGGCTGGCCTGTATCCTCAACTTTTCAACACACTGGGGCTGGTAAGAATTTTTCAGGTCACGTGAGCTTGTCTCATATGCACAGCCGTGGTTGAAGATTACCACAGCCACCTTGGGATCCTCTGCAGGCTGTACCAGCACCGAGTGGTCAAAGGACGAGGAGCGGGAGATGGTGATCCTTTGGGAGCATCACAATATATCACAATTTTGATGAAAGTCATGATCATACCCCTGATCTCATCCCTGATGCCTTGGTGTTGGGGTGGGCTTCCTGGTAGCCTCGACCTGGTTGCAGGCTCTGGTGGTGCCTTTCGCATCAACCTTACCTGGAGATGGATTACGAGACATCACAGGAGATGTCGATGGCGGCGATGAAGGTGGCTGCTAATTATATATTGTGTGATTTGACACAGCTCAACATCAAAATCATCAAAGCAGTTGGCGGATTGTCTTGTGCTAATGTTGCTTTTTGTGTCATTTTTATTTTGGGATGAAGTGACAGGTGCTTCGAGAAAGGAGCAAGAGGAGCGATGTGTTGCTGTGCGCAAGGAAAAAGGAGTGCAGCTCCATCACGCCTCCAGTCTGCTGAACCTTGCCTTGGACAAACCTCCAGTCTAAATTCATAGGCGGGTATTAGTTTCAATAGTGATTCACCATGATTTACCACTAGGACTAGTTTCGGGGTAATCCCCAAGTAATAGTTGGGGCTTATGAATCCTGCGTTGACATTAATACTTGAAGATTGCACACAGTATGTAGTTGTGCTTGAGAGGAATCATCGTGCAGGAATGAAGTTTGGAAGAGTACCGAAAGGTTTTGAGATGTTGGCATTAATTACTGTAAACATCTGTAAACTCTGGCGTGTTTGATCCCCTGCCAGGGCAAAGCAAGATTACTGAGATTTTACAATGATGTGCCCATGGACAGGCGCGACGGAACCATAATGGCTCGTTCTGAGATGTGACTCACTGATATCAATGCACCGACAATCATATGTGCCCTGGTGAAAAGATAGTTTTTGCACTGTTATACACCCATCTTGGGGAGAATCTCATCAATCCTTGCAATGTGGATTTTAATATACCCTTTGGACCGTTTGTAAAGATTCCCATGGCATCGGATGACATAATCCATTCATCCCATCTGCTGGGCCATGGGTGCCATGGAGTGTTGAGACCGGCCAGGCAGAAGCACATTTTGCAGAGCATCTACCGTCTTGGCCGAACTGCCTTGGTTAGAGAAACGTTGCAGGTGAAACGCCAAGTATGCGAGTAATGTTTGGCACTGTCTTAGCGAATTCTGCGGAGAATTCAGAATCTCTGTTGATTGATGACGTAAATGGCATTGTACGATCGAGCATTCTGGGGAAAACTGAGAGAAAAAAACATATGCAATTTTTGCGACTGTTTGATTCCTTCCTGATGTGCAAGCAGAGCACACCCACCAATTGCCAGTTAGCACTCGCGTCGACGAAAACTGTTGCTGTTTCGTAGAGGAGCTACAAGTTCGGATTGTGCATAGATGCCTTCTCGGTGCATGGATCAGGTTTTTCTACTTATGGGTATAGTCCCTATGAGTAAAGACCAATGGTGTGGCCCAGTGGTTTGTTTCTGGTGCCAAGTTGTTCACACTTCCAGGAGGTGTCACCGGGCAAGAAGTGAATGATTGCTCTTTGGACTTTCTTTGGAGAAAATGAATTGCTGCAGATTCGGCAATGCCTGGCATTGTGTGCAGGACGAGTCTTTATTTGGTCCTGATCACAAGATCATCTACAGGACACCGATGAGCAGGGCTTGGTAGCGAAATTCGAAACACTGGATGCACTCCAGTTTTGCATGAACCTAGTTCACTCCTGGTGTAGACAGAGGCCGATAGGCAGATAGGCAGATAGATTGACAATCAGATAGATGGATGGATGTTTGGACAGACGGACAAACAGACACAGATATTGACATAATTCAATGCATATAGTCTTTCAACGACATCAGCGAATATGCCGTGAGGGTCTTGCGCCAGATTGGAGGCACTTCGCTACCCTCTACTTCATCTTTGTTGCTGACAGCGCGGAGAGCGAACTTGGAGTACTAGATCTTATCCAGGTGCCGACCGTGGATGCCACAGAGATGTATCAACATTTTCCAGGGCGGTCGTCAGCAGAAGGAACATTTTGTTACCCCTGCCCTTGGACTTTAACCTCAGCCGAGAAAACTAGATAAGCAGATTGTGAGGGAGCATTTGGTTGGTACGTTGTGGGGCATCTCGTCCAAACAGTTGTCTCTTCATGTCTACTGTTTTGGCCAACTCCTTTCTGGTCGTCCTATAGTTACTCCTACACGTCCATGCTGACATTATTCTGAATGTAAGGACAACGCATACTCGTATGTCATAATTTGTTGTAACATTTATATACATTTATATACATATTATACCCATACACATTACCTATCTACACACACACATATATATATACATACATATGTGTACTGTACACATACATCCCGGCGGTTGTTTATCGAACCCACGTTTCAATGGCTCGGTTTGCTGACCTTCTTTCTAATTCCATAAAAACACAGAATTTTTAACCAGTTTAATCTTAAGGCATGTGCCTTTTTTGATGTGCCTTTTTTGCACAAATTGCCTGCGCAGATTTTGGTCTCACTTTTTTGAAAACCTCAGCTGCGCACCATTTCTTTCTTCCCCATCAGCGTAGGTACCCCATCATGAAAAGAAAGCAACAACATAGTATCCGCGTAAGTACCCCATCATGATAAGAAAGCAAGAACGTAGCATCAGCGTAGATACCCCATCATGAAAAGAAAACAACAACGTAGCATCAGCGTAGCTACCCCATCATGAAAAAAACAAGATGGAAGCCACGAACCCGAATGTATTCACGTTCTTGAACTACAAGCGCAAACCTCTGCAATAGGAGAACAAACCTTTTTTTGCCTGCATCATGCGCTCATATCGTCTCAGCGAAGGCACCTGAGCAACAGTTCACAAAGAGACAACTAACCAGCACAACAACATCACCACCAGCATAACGAAATCACCACCAGCACAACAACATCACCAGCGCAATGAAATCACAACGAAATCACCAGCGCAACGAAATCACCAGCGCAACAAAATCACCAGCACAACAACATCACCAGCGCAACGAAATCACCAGCACAACGAACGCACCAGCGAACATCACCAGCGCAACAAAATCACCAGCACAACGACATCACCAGCACAACGAAATCACCAGCACAACAACATCACCAGCACAACGAGATCACCACCACCTGCCATACTCCACACTTTACCCACTGCAAACTCCAGACTCCACACTCTACACTCTACACTTTACACTCCACACTCCACACTCTACACTCCCCACTTTACACTTGCCCCACTGCACACTGCACACTGCACGCTCCACACTTTACACTCCACACTCCAAACTCCTCACTCCTCACTCCACACTCTACACTTTAAACTCTACACTTGACACTTTACACTCCACACGCTACACTCCACACTTTACGCTTAACACTCCACACTTTCCACTTTACACTGCTCACTCCCTTTACACTTCACACTTTACACTCCAAACTCCACACTTTACACTCCTCACTCCACACTTTACACTCCACGTTTTACACTCTACACTTTACACTCCACACTCAACACTTTACACTCCTCACTCCTCACTCCACACACACTACACTCCACACTCCACAGCACTCCACAGCACTCCACAGCACTCCACAGCACTCCACAGCACTCCACAGCACTCCACAGCACTCCACAGCACTCCACAGCACTCCACACTCCACCACACTCTACACTCTCCACACTCCACACTCAGCACACTCCACACTCTACACTTTACGCTCCACACTCTACACTTTACACTCCACACTTTACACTTTACACTCCTCACTCCACACTCAACACTTTACACTCCACATCTTAAATTTTAAGCTCTACACTTTACACTCCACACTCCACACTCTACACTTGACACTCAACACTTTACACTCTACACTCAACACTCTACACTTTACACGCTCTACACTCCCCACTCCACACTTTACACTCCACACTCCTTACTTTACACAAAGCTTGCAGAAACTACTTCCCAGTACTACTTTGTACTACACAGCTTGCACAAAGTACTTCCCAGTACTACTGTGTACTACAAAGCTTGCAGAAACTACTTCCCAGTACTACTTGGTACTACACAGCTTGCACAAAGCACGTTCCAGTACTACTTTGTACTACAAAGCTTGCACAAAGCACTTCCCAGTGCTAAGTTGTACTACAAAGCTTGCAGAAACTACCTCCTAGTACTACTTTGTACTACAAAGCTTGCAGAAACTACTTCCCAGTACTACTTTGTACTACACAGCTTGCACAAAGTACTTCCCAGTACTACTGTGCACTACAAAGCTCGCACAAACTACTTCCCATTACTTCTTTGTACTACAGAGCTTGCACAAATCACTTCCCAGTACTACTTTGTACTACAAAGCTTGCACAAAGTCGTTCCCAGTACTACTTTGTACTACAAAGCTTGCACAAAGTACTTCCCAGTACTACTTTGTACTACAAAGCTTGCACAAAGTCGTTCTCAGTAATAGGTTTTGCAGCTTCCCCCATAGACACGGCGACGCGAGCGCAGCAAAACAAGCGAGGCTTTGCAGCCTTCCCCATAGACATGGCCACGCCAGAGGACAAGGAGAAACTCGAGACGGGATAGGTTTTGCAGTTTCCCCCATAGACACGGCGAAGTGAGCGCAGCAAAACCAGCGAGGCTTTGCAGCTTCCCTCATAGACACGGCGACGTGAGCGCAGCAAAACAAGCGAGTCTTTGCAGCTTTTCCCATAGACACGGCGACGCCAGAGGACACGCAGAAACTCGAGACGGGATATGTTTTGCAGCTTCCTCCGTAGACACGGCGACGTGAGCGCAGCAAAACAAGCCAGTCTTTGCAGCTTTCCCCATAGACATGGCCACGCCAGAGGACAAGCAGAAACTCGAGACGGGATAGGTTTTGCAGTTTTGCCATAGACACGGCGACGTGAGCGCAGCAAAACCAGCGAGGCTTTGCAGCTTCCCCCATAGACACGGAACTAACGACGCGAAAACGACGCGAAAAAGGATGCGACGACCAACTGGAGGCGAACAAGGGTCCAGCCCCCAGACCCCCAGACTATAAACGGGAACCCTTCGCTACGCGTTCGGGAAGCACAATGTAGCATCAGCGTAGGTACACCATCATGAAAAGAAAGGATGAACCATGAAGCAACAACTAAATAAACGCACTATCAAAATTAATATTAAAGCCTACTTTAACGTTATTGCCACCCAACAAAAACACACATGCAAAACGCTGGTACGGCTTTCAACCAGCAGACACATACATGGATGTAACGTAATGCAATGTAGTGGAATGCAATGACATGTAATGCATGGAGGTAAAAGGAACCTACATGCTGCCCCGCATTTAGTCAAATTTAGTCTGTCATGGCGAACCTGGCATCGATACGGGCAATCGTTTCCACAGTTGTTCCACAGTTGTTCCACAGTTGTTCCACAGTTGTTCCACAGTTGTTCCACAGTTGTTCCACAGTTGCGGAGCAGAACACTGTTCCAAATCAAGCTCTGCAGGTCTTTGTTCAGGTTCTTGACTCCTGTTTCGAGAATGTTTGCGAGCTGGACCTGATCTACCACTTTGATAGAGCCTGGGATCTTGGCAAATCGCAGTTGATTTGCCTCGCATCAAAAACCATACTGCAACGGATTGATGGACGTCATGTATCCTCCACATTGGCATACACATCTTGTGAAGGATTTGACCTTTCATGACAAGTGTTTGATTACACCAAAACAAAGATGCAGGCAGTTACAGTTGCACACATCCTTCTGCGAGCCTCGCGGCACGCAGGTGAATTACATCCTTGATGAAATTGTCATGGCTGGCATGGTCTTGGAAACCAATGCTGACCTCATTTTAGAGGCCGTCAAGGACGGGGCGACGGGCAAGACCTTGAAGAACCCATCTTGAATATGTAGGTACACATATACATATTACATATACACAGGTGTGGATATTTGTATGTATATGTACATGTATGTATATTAACATGTATTTGTATATATATACATATATATATTTGTATGGATAGGCATACAGGCGGGTGGGTCCGCTAGACATCAGGTAATAGCAGATAGGCTGCTCCCGGAGAATTTCACGCCGAGGAGACGAAGAAATTGGAGCAGGAAGGATCCACCTTCGGCTTCTGAGGGGCCCTTCATGTGGCAGTTGGATGCACCATGGAAGAGAAACCTCTGTGATTCATGATTGTAGCAGGCTATGCTACCCAATATCAACCGGGAATTATTGTATATTGCGGTTATATAAACATCAGAAAGATCCGCGACCTTATTCAAACTTTTGATATGTGCAAAACTTGCGAGGTCCCGTGCAAAAAACGGTGAAATCAGCAACATGGCAACATGGCAACATGGCAACATGGCAACATGTACGAACCTGTGCAGCAAACAACAGTGCTGTGCCCGAAGCATCGGAAGACAATGCAACAAGCATTCTCCGAGGCAGCAAAAGCAGTGCTGGTGGGATCTTGTTATCGCCTTTCAGGGATGCGTAGGCCCCCTTGCCCCTGATGGAACTACATGATATTCACAGAGATGAAGATCCAGTAGTTTCTGGCTTTGATATGACAACGGTCCATGGAGTTCAAAAGATTGCAGGCATTGCGTGTGCTTGAGGACACCTTTGACTCTGCAAAACACTTTTTCTCCAGGGGTAAGGCTTCCTCTCCCTGTTTTCATCACTTTTGAGCTTTTGTACATGCATGATCCGCAGAACTTGAACTTAAGGGCCGGAAAAGGCCGACACCCAACACCAACATTTTTCAGGTGAAGGTCGACAGAAGCTGAGACGTTGACTCACAAAGGGTCTAAAGAGGTCCAGAGCAACAGATTTACCAAGCTGTTCTCCGGCCCAATGAACTGTAATAAGATGTGTATCTTTTGCCAGCCATGGCTTCCTCATTTGAAAACATATTTCTAAATATATGTATGCATAATACACACACACATATATATATATACATATTTATCACTATATGTCTGTATGTATGTGTATATATATATATATTTTATATATCATTATGATTATCATCAACTCAGCTAATTCAAAAACAAGCATCTGTCGTTCTTTTCTCAGCATGGGCGGTTTCATCATGGCCAATGAACGACTTCGAGGACTTCCTCAACGCATCCGGGGACACCGAGGACCAGCACTTGGTGAAGCGCCAGCCGCAGCGCCAGCGCGGTGGCAGCCCCTCCTACCGTGGAGGACGAGGACGTGGAGCTGGACGTGGTGATGACTTGGGCTTTGGACGAGGTGCTCCAGTGATAGAGCCGAGGAAATCACCATTTCTTCTGAAAGTTTGGGAAAGTGAGGGAATTCCTAGGGAAAAAGAATACATAAGAAAAATGAGAAGAACGAGAACTTGAGTTTGCTTTCAGCTGTCCTAGAGTTTACAAAACACGAATTGCGCAGTCTGTTGCTTCTGTGCTCGGTTCGTTGGTCGAAGAAAGGGAAAATATATCTTGAGTGCGTCGGCTTGTGTGCCATTAAAGGACTGACAAAAGCACAATTCTTGGCCACTTAGAGTATATACAGTTTTTGACAAATACCTTTTTGATGTCACTCGTAGTCTCCGTTGCAGATAAAATTCAGCCAACAAAAGCATCATTTGCAGTCTTGCAAGGTTCAAAACAGTTTTTGTGCAACTTGTTGTGTTTCCCTCCAGCTGAGGTGGTGATCCATATGCTTCGATCGAGTTTGGTGCGATCGAGTTTGCTGGAGAATTGTCACGCCCGAAGAGCTTGGGAAGCAAGACCAAGGCTGGAAAGCATGGCGGGGGCGAGCGAAGTGAGCCTGCATCTTCCCCCTCTGCAGTGAGGGGTGCGGCTCGTTCCAAGGGAGGAGCAACACCCTCTGCAAAGTCTGAACCTGCCAAGGCGGTTTCTGATTCTGAAAGCTCTGGGGCTGCACAGAGCGAGGCTGAGGCCCAGGGCGGGCAGGGCGGGCATTCATTGTTTGCTAGCTACAAAGCAGATATCGACCAGCAACTACGCGAGTCTCAAGAAGAATTGAAAAGGCAAGAGGAAGAAAGAGAAAGAAAGAAAAAGGAGGAGGAAGAACGTAAACAAGCAGAAGAAACAAAGAGGAAAGAGGAGGAGAAGAAAAAGGCTGAAGAAGCGGCTCGGCTTGAGGAGGAGAAGAAGCGCGAGGCTGAGGAAGCTAAGCAGAAAGAAGAGGAAAGAAAAAAGCGCGAAGAAGAGGAGGCAAAGAAGGAAGAAGAGCGACAAAGACGTGAGGTGGAGGAAGCCAAGAGAAAGGAAGAAGCTGAGAGACAGAAGCGTGAAAAAGAAGAAGAAGAAGAAGAGAGAAGGAAGCAAGAAGAGCAGCAGAGGCGGGAAGCAGAGGCTCAAAATGAGGAACAGTTGAGACAAGAAGCTGAGGCCAGAAAGAGAGAAGAAGAGAGAAGGCGGGAAGCCGAAGAAGAGTTAAGGAAGAGGGAAGAAGAGCAACGGAGGCGAGAAGCAGAGGAGGCCAAAGAGGAGCAGAAGAGACGAGAAGCTGAGGCAGTGAAGGCAGAGGAATCACAGAAGGCGAAAAACACAGAAGTTGAGGAGAAAGAAGACGAGACTTTGCCAGCTCGAACGCACGTGGACGTGGAAAAGAAGACGGAGGACTTTTATTTTCAGTGCTTTTCATTCTGGTCAATTAGTGCAAGAAATAATGCAGATGGACCATACTTCATCATGATACATCATTCTGAGTCAATTATTACGAAAGCCAGCCGATAGGCTAGGCAAAGTTGTTGTGGCGAACGAAGTGAGTATTAGGGGGTCTGGGGGGTGGACGTTGCCGTGCGGGCCGGAAGCTCGAAATTAGTTGCGGCGGAGGCCGGACAAATTGAAGTTTTTTGGGGGGCATGTACCACTACGCAAAGAGGTGACGGTAGGCTTCGATCCCCCCTAGGTCCGTTGACTCCGGCAGGAAAAAGGCAGGAAAAAACCAAGGAAAATGAAGGAAAATGGTTGAAAACAGGGAGAAAATGGAGGAAAATGGAGGAACGGAAGGAAAAAGGTAGGAAAAAACGAAAGGGAATGAAGGAAAATCGTTAAAAGCAGGGGGAAAACGGAAGAAAATGGAGGAACTCCGAAGCTCAACGGAGAGCAGCGTCCGTTGGGGTTCGGAACAAGAGACTTTGCAAGGGGATGAGAAGTGATACTGAAGAAGGGGTGGCGAAGGGTTGCAAAGCAAGGAAAACAATTCCAAAGGTGCTGCAGATGGTTTGGGCTTCTAGTAGACGATGAACCAGCGGGCTGAGGATCATTACAGTAGGGGGGGAGAGTGTAAAGTGCAAACTGTTGTGGGGGGAGTGTACAGTGTAAAGTGTAAAGTGTGGAGCGTAGAGTGTAGAGTGTAAAGTGCAGAGTGTAAAGTGTAAAGTGCAGAGTGTAAAGTGTAGAGTCTGGAGTGTCAAGTGTAAAGTGTAGAGTGTGGAGTGTGGAGTGGAAAGTGTAGAGTGTGGAGTGTGGAGTATGGAGTATGGAGTAGTGTAGAGTGTAGAGTGTCAAGTGTAGAGTTTAAAGTGTAGAGTGTGGAGTGTGAAGTGTAAAGTGTGGAGTGTACAGTGTAAAGTGTACAGTGTGGAGTGTAGAGTGTAGAGTGTAAAGTGCAGAGTGTAAAGTGTAGAGTGTGGAGTGGAAAGTGTGGAGTGTGGAGTGTAAAGTGTAAAGTGTGCAGTGAGGTGTGAGGAGTGTAAGTGTGGAGCGTAAAGTGTAGAGTGTGGAGTGTGGAGTGTAAAGTGTGGAGTATGGTGTGTAAAGTGTAAAGTGTGGAGTGTAGAGTGTAGAGTGTAAAGTGTAGAGTGTAAAGTGTAGAGTGTGGAGTGTAAAGTGTGGAGTGTGGCGTGTAAAGTCTGCAGTGAGGAGTGAGGAGTGTAAAGTGTAACGTGTAAAGTATGGAGTGTAGAGTGAAGAGTGTAGAGTGTAAAGTGTAGTGTGTAACGTGTAGAGTGTGGAGTGTGGAGTGTAGAGTGTAAAGTGTAGAGTGTAAAGTGTAGAGTGTGGAGTGTAAAGTGTGGAGTGTGGAGTGTCAAGTGTGCAGTGAGGAGTGTGGAGTGTAAAGTGTAAAGTGTAAAGTATGGAGTGGAGAGTGAAGAGTGTAGAGTGTAAAGTATAGTGTGTAAAGCGTAGAGTGTGGAGTGTGGAGCGTAGAGTGTAGAGTGTGGAGTGTGGAGTGTAAAGTGTGGAGTATGATGTGTAAAGTGTAAAGTGTGAATTGTAGAGTGTAGAGTGTAAAGTGTAGAGTGTAAAGTGTAGAGTGTGGAGTGTAAAGTGTGGAGTGTGGCGTGTAAAGTCTGCAGTGAGGAGTGAGGAGTGTAAAGTGTAACGTGTAAAGTATGGAGTGTAGAGTGAAGAGTGTAGAGTGTAAAGTGTAGTGTGTAAAGTGTAGAGTGTGGAGTGTAAAGTGTAAAGTGTCGAGTGTGGAGTGTGGCGTGGAAAGTGTGTAGTGCGGAGTTTGGAGTGTGGAGTTTGGAGTGAGGAGTGTACAGTGTAAAGTGCAAAGTGTGGAGTGTAGAGTGTAGAGTGTAAAGTGTAGAGTGTAAAGTGTAGAGTGTGGAGTATAAAGCGTGGTGTGTAAAGTGTGGAGTGTAGAGTGTAAAGTGTAGAGTGTGGAGTGTCAAGTGTGGAGTGTGGAGTGTAAAGTGTGGAGTGAGGAGTGTGGTGTGAGGAGTGTAAAGTGTAAAGTTTCGAGTGTAGAGTGTAAAGTGTATAAAACAGGTTGGAATGTTGCGAACGTAACCGCAACATCGAGCGAACACACCCTCAGCCCCCAGACCCCCGGAGTGAAACGGGAACCCTTGCTACACATTCGGGAAAAAGGCATGACATAGAGGAAAGGCAAAGCTTTGAAAACGCTAGGAACATAGAGGCAAGCATATTGCAAAAAAAATACGGATCCGAAGCTCAACAGAGAGCAGCGTCTGTTGGGGTTCGGAGCAAGACAGTTCGCAGAACAAAAAAGATTCCGGCTAGGGGCTGGCTTTCGTCCCCCCTTCTCAGGTTCCTTACTTTGTGTGTATATTTGTCTCAATTTTGAGAACCAATGCCCTGAAGGAGAATGTGAGGACACCCACAGCATCCGTGGCACCATCTTCTCGAGCTGCCTCCCCGTCCGCCCCATCTGTGACCTTTCCAGCTCCACCAGACCCAAGTCCACGCATCCAATCTCCATCTCCAGAAAGGCCACCTCCCCCATTTCCAGCATCAAGGAGCCCGTCTCCAGCGGCATCCCAAATATTTCCTCCAATGCCACAATCAGTTCCACCAGTCCCACAACTTCCGAGAACTGAGTCGAGCTCACTGAGCCCTGCTGTTGGCGCACCTCGAGTATCAGTTCAATCTCCGCCTCCGCCCAAGGCTCCACAGGTGGCACCCCAGGTGGCACCGCAGCCCACCCGCAGCGTGTCCAGTCCAACTCCACGAGCCCCGCAGTCGAACCAAGCGCCGCGGCTGCCGCTGCCAGCCCGAACCTTGGAGGTCCCTGAGGAGGGACGCACGGCCACAAACAGCCTTCCATTCATGCCACATGACCTTCATAGTCGCAGTGCTTCGACTGCACCTTTGGGTGCTGCCCCTGGCCCTGCACATCCCTCAGATCGTTGGTGCCTTCCGTGTGAGGATGGCAAGTTGTTGGTGTTGCGCTCCACTGAATCAGCAGAGCAGCAGGAGATGAATGCCTACTGGCGTTCACAGGCCAGAGGTCAGGTCTTGGATCCTCCACGACCCGATGCCAACGCTTCGCTGTTGATGAGCTCAGCTACCAGTGAGCGTTCAGCACCCTCGCCAGGCAGCCATGGCCAGAGCCACGCACCAGATCCGGCCCTGTTGGACTTGGCACAGCGAGTGGATCGGATGAAGCTCGAAGCGTGCCAAGGTGAGATCCAAGGCGAGGGCGGTGCTGACCAGGGTCAGTTGGGCAAGCTGTTTTAATGTTCATCGAAGGAAGTTTAGAAGTCAAACTTCCGACAATATGGACAGATGAAAAGCAGAGATGGGAAGTGTCAGAGAAGAGAAGAGAAGAAGAAAGAGAAAGAGTCAGAAGAAAGAAGATCCAGGTGCGCGAAAAGGTAGGAAAGTCGCGAACACTGGTGTTTTTCCAATGATTCGAGGCTCCGGAGGGTCGAAAAGTAGGCTCGCTAAAGCGGCGGGTGCGGAGCTAGGTGGCCGGATGAGAGATGAAAAATTGCATGCCGTTGTGGCGCGAAGCACATTTCGAAGTAAACATGTACAAAACACACCATTCTCGGACCAGTTTTGGAAGTTGAGATGTCGAAAAAGTGCACGCCGTTGTGGCGCGAGCACATTTCGAAGTCAAAACGTTTAAAAGCAACAGGGGTTTGGACCAGTTTTGGAAGTTGAGATGTCGAAAAAGTGCACGCCCTTGTGGCGCGAAGCACATTTCGAAGTTAATGTGAAAAGCACCAGGGGTTCGGACCACTTTTGGACGTTCAGATGTCGTTTCGCGTGGCAGGCGCAAGGGATCGTGGACCTTGTCAAAAGTGAGCAAAACGTGAGGGTTTTGTGACATTTCCAAACACGATGGCAAGCGTGGGACATTTGAAGAGGATCTGCAAAGATGCATTTTCTGTGGCAGGCGCAGTACTAGAGACATGTTCATTGCTCATCAGAGCTGTTAGGAGGTCCAGGCGCTGATTCCCTGAGAGGGGTTGCATTTTGGAGCATCAGATCTTCAGGTTTGCTGAGATGATTTTGCGTGACAGGTGCAGCACTTCGTATGACCAGGCATCACTTTTTCGTGGCAGGCGCAGTACTTCAGACAGGTGGACTGGAAAAATCGCAAAACGCATTGGTAGGAGGCCGTCAGCTCTGCACCCCACTTTCCATTTTTGAAGGACGTCTCGCAGAATTGTTTCGTTTTTGGTGTTGTCAACTTCGAAAAATGAGGAAGTCTCGCAAACTTGTTTCGTTTTTGACGTTATCAAGTTCAAAAATTGAGGAAGTCTCGCTGAATTGCTGCGTTTTTGATGTTGCCAAGTTCAAAAATTGAGGAAGTCTCCCAGAATAGCTTCGTTTTCAAGCTTGCAGGTAGATAGATAGACAGACAGACAGACAGAGAGAGAGAGAGAGAGAGATAGATAGATAGACAGACAGACAGATAGATAGATAGATAGATAGATAGACAGGTAGATAGATAGATAGACAGAGAGAGAGAGAGAGAGATGGACACATAGATAGATAGGTGGGTAGGTAGGTAGATAGTCAGAGAAAGAAAAAAAAAGAGAGAAAGAGAAGAGACCTCAACCACCTGTCGGTCCATCAGTGGATTCGCTCTGCCATCCGTGATTCACAACAACAAACCTCTCCTATAGTTTCCTATTTTTGAAACTTCCGCCACCGCCTTGTGCGGTACTACTGGTAGTCTTACTGGTAGTCGTTTGCATACATAGCGTTACGTAGGTAAAGAAGTGATCGTGCTATTTGTTGATTTTGTTGACAGTATCACTATTTGTTGTCTCGCCAATGATAGGGACATCATTTTGATAGGGAGGGCCTTAGCAACCTTTGTAAGAGCTCCAGAACCGAGAATCAGAACTATATCTACAGGCCAGTGCAGACGGTACTGTCAGGGGTTCATGTAGGCCCTGGCTAGATTTTAGAGATATATGATTTGTATAGACATATGTATCACACATTCACATTCTACATAATATACACCTGGATATTGTACATCTAATGCAAACATACATGTATCTTTCATGGAACCTTGGAATATTCTGGGCAGGACCCCTCTGTTATTCCATGGCCTTGGTGCCAGGTCTCAAGAAGAAGTTGGTGCTTCTGGAAGAATTCAACACGGACTTGGCCAAGTTGAAGACCACCGCCGAAGCCCAGGCCATGCAGTTGGATGAGCAGCTCATGCGATCCAGGATGGAGAACAAGAAACTGCAGGACTGGAATGAACTGCGGGGTATGTTTGAAATGAAGGGCACCCCAGCGTTCAATGGAAATCTCATCATTTCCCCGGACAATTCTGCAATTTTGGACAAACTCAATTCGTGGATGGAGAAATGACATCGCAGACATAGGAGGATTAGGAGGTGGGAAGCATTTGGTTGGCCGTCTCTTCTTTCCACTGTTTATGGCTCTATTGCCACGGATACAGCATGGGACACCGGTTACTGTTTATATTAGATTTGCCGCACTCTGGAGTGACTTCGTGCAACCATCCAAGCGCTTGTTGTTCTTGTTGTGCAGGATGCACTCAACAACCAGGCATCGCAGTTGCGAGAGATGAGAGAAGCGAAGATGGCCCAAGAGGAACAGGTCCAGGAAGCTCAGGTGCCGGAACGAAACATGTACCACTGGACCATTTGAAGGAGGGATGAAGATCTACTATTGTCCACTGATGTTATCTAGCCATCGATTAAAAGATGGGATTAAATCTTACATCTAGGATTATGAACAATTTTGGGGATGCAGTTGATGCTTCCACTGTTTTGTTTGACAAGATTTGAGCCCCCTGCCACGACAAGACAGAATGTGGCTAGATGACTGGCAAAAGTTACCAAAAGCTGGGGCATGCCTCAGCTTCACTTCGTAGCTTCACCTCTTTCTTGGGATAGCAGATTTGGCAGCAGCCCTGAAGGAGCAGATGTCAGCAGCGGCTCAGCAGGTGGTGGAAGCAACCAGTACCTCAGCTGCAGTTGTGCAGTGACTTCCCAGGAACAACTCTTTGCAGAGCGAGAAAACAACTCCGCTTGTTGCTGCTGTCTAAGGTGATTTCACAATCTGCATAATTTTTGCATGTCGTTCAAAAACCATTCTTTACACCTGTCATCCTCTTGTGGCAGCACAGTTGCACGACCACTTGCCAAGGCAAGCAGGCCGTCCTATCGCAACGTGTGGCTTCTCTGACACAAGAGCTGGCAGGGCTTCGCGAAGAGAGGGACACCTTGAAGGAGGACTTGGCTTTGTGTGGCAAGGAGAATGTGGACCAAACCACATCAAGCACTCCTCAGAAGTTGAAGGAGCAACATGTCAGTCCAAATGCTCTGTTGGGCCGGATGCAAGCTGAGTTGGCGATGTCCGAAAAAATGCTCCGGGCGTGCGAGAAAGAGAACGAAAACTTGGCCCAGCAGAATCGACAGCTTCGGCAAGGCGCACGACTTCAGAGGGAGGAAGTGGACGGACGACAGCTGCAACTCGTGGCTGAACTCAATGCTGCCAAGGCTGAGGCCGCTGCCAATCCCGCCAGCATGCGACGCCTGGCCGAAGTGGAGCGTGAATTGGTGGCCGCCAAGGAACGGGCAGAGGAGCACGCCCGGGAGCTGGAACGATGCCGGGAAGCCAAAAGACAACTGGAACGGGAAATCATTGCAGGACCGCCTCCAAAACCTCCAAATCAAGAGTTGGAACAGATGGAAGCGAGATGTGTATTGGCTCAGTCCGAAGTTGCGGAAATGCAGGAAAAGCTTCGATACTATGCGCAGAGCCAGCAAGCAATGGAGGAAGATCGAAGGCAAGTTGAAAAGCTGTCTGAAGAACTGAGGGCTGCAAAGACAGAGAATGGGGACTTAAGGAGGAGGCCAGGACTGAAGGAAGCCAGCAAGAAGATTGCAGAGCTGCGGCGTCAAAACGAGGAACTCAATGAATGTTTGAGAAAGCGCAATCCTGACAGCATTTTGGCCCTCATAAAGGCTTGTGAACCAGCACCGGAAGAGAAACGTGAACTTCGTGACCTGAAGGGTCGCATTGCTGAGTTGGAAGCGCAGCTGCAGGAGCGGGATGCAATGTACGACCGGCGGATTCGAGGCTTGCGTGCTCAATATGACCATATGCGGCATGAGTACGAACGTCGATCTGAGAGTAAGAGACTGGGACCTGACTTGGTGGAAGAATCTATCAGGCGAGTGGGGCCAGATCATGAGGCTGTGCTTCAAGCCCGGATCAAGGATCTCGAACGTCAGGTGGAGCACACCAAGTCCTACTATCTCACCAAGCTCAGAAAGAGGGAGCCTTTGGTACCTCCGTGGAAGCCCGGTGGCAAATCGACTGCCCATACACAAAATCCCAGCGAGACACGTCAAATCCAGCACTTGCAGCAGCAACTGCAGGAACGTGAACAGCGGATTGCTGAACTTGAGAACTGTGCCCGAGCCCAGAGTTCCCAGAGTCCCCAGAGTCCCCGTCAGATGGCATATCCTCCAGCTCCCACAGTTCCTGCAGTTCCTGCAGTTCCTGGGTACCCACCTCCAGCTCCACCAGCGCATCCATCTCCGGCCGTGGCTTCCAGTTTGATCCGACTGTTCATGGCATCTCCAGAGGGATCAGCAATGGTGGCGCTGTGTACTGCACAGCACTGGCTTGCTCAGTCGATGCGTTTGGAGCGCTATGACGAGGCTGAAACTACTCAACGGCCAATCCCGAGATTGTCCTCCGAATGAAGCTTGTACTTGTATCAATGGTAGATTGATACAGACTTTGAGACTCCGATATAAGTGATATAAGTTCATGTGACAGGTTGTTCGCACAGAAACTGGAATCTGTTTGAATTTCAGACAGCATGATACATTGATCTGTCAGGTGGCCGCGCATGCTGAGATGCTGATCCCGATCTTTCTGGCAGCTGAATCTGCAGCAAAAGGATCTGGTGAACCAGTGGAAATGGACATGTCCTATGGCACTCATCGTGTGTTGCTCCAGCACGACGCATTAAGGCCAAGCTCTTAGCCTTTCCAAACTCTACAGCCTTGGAGAGAAGAATGCAAATAATGTAATATTCTTCTATCATCTTCTAACCGGGTCCACCTGCGATATTCGCTAATTTGGGCATCATTTCAACGCGCATCCGCCCTGAGGCTTGAGATGCCATTGCTTCCCAGCCGCGTTTGGAATGCCTGGCGCCATGCCATGCAGCGCGTGGCCGTCATCGCTTCACAAGCCAGCTTGGGTGCGACGCACAGGCCCTGAAGCTTCATCGTTTGATCATCCACATGGGCAGGGGATGTTTGCATCTGCCCATGGGACCACCCGAAGGAGTTTCCTCAAAGGGGTTGGGGAAGTGATTTATTCTTGGACTGGTACTTGAGTTGCAAGGTGGAGAACTGTCAAGCTTGAACTCAAAGGGGTAGCATGCCCTGAAGCCTAGAAGTAAAAACCATCCAACACAAGGCACCTCATTCGACCCCCCAAAGAGCTGATCAACATACGCCTATGCCGAGTTGTTTGGAGCAGGGATGACAAGCAGTGATGCTTGAGCTTTGTATCTTTAACCGCACACCTTGTAGCTGGGAAGTCCCCATCTTCACCAGGAAAGTCACAGTCAGGGACCTACATGGATATGGCAAATTCCGGCTAGACGTTAAAATAACACATTCTTCATCGATACAAATGCGGGCTCAAATGGATACCAATGGACACTATCAATGGATATTACTGGAACAAATTGATATCAGCAATTGATATTATTAATCGATATTAAGAAAGGACAGGATATGACCGATAGCTATTCATGGCTTGAACTGGATCAATTTTTATGGACATCCAGGGGATCTCGATGGATCAAGAATGGCTCATAACTTCAAACAGCAATGGAACATGGCCCTATTTGGAACGGTTCGATGATTTGCTGGTTATAGGATGGTGATTTTCCATAGTAAGAGGATAATAAACTGATGGTTTTGGATAGCATGATGATTGTTGAGACAGTCAACTACTGATGATTGAGGGTAATAGCTAGTTGATTATTTGATGATACTACTGACAATTCATGATGATAGGATATTATACATCATATACCATCAAAACCATCGACATTAATATTCCTATCCACTGTTGGTTATATTCCCATGCATTGCTGGTAAATCACCAGTTGAATTCGCATTTTGGGTAATATACCCAACACGGTAATTTAGCAGTTTGCTCTAGAACATCATCGTGTTAATTATCGAACCAAATGGGCAACGCATCTATAGCTATGTTAAATTACCATTGGTAGAGGATGTAAGGGATATATATATATAGCAATAATGTTTGGGATAGCAATCATTATACAGTAAACTATTGATGAGTGATCCTCAAAGGTTTTGATAATTGATTTACTGTGATTGCTAGTTGCCAATATATAATTTACTGTACATCCCAAGTCCCATTCCATCCCATTCCATCCCATCAATTCCCATCCACTCGTTATTAAATCACCATTTCAAAGACTTCCTCTGCTGCGTCGCCAGGCCCAAAGTGCAGCTCCAGGAGGCCATGGCGGAGCTGCGCCAGAGCGCCGAGGTGGGAAGGTTTCCGAGTCGTCATGGGGGTACCCCAGTCGTCACCGGTTTCAATACGTGTCGTCGTCATCCATGAGGACTGGATGATTTGGGGACTCCTAAGTGAAAGTGAAACATGTGAAACCTCCATTTTTCAGGAGGCTTATGAACATCGACATTCCCAGGATGGTGTGAGAGTCCATGGTCAGGCTGTGATCCAGCAACTGCTGCCAGATGGCCATCCAGGCAAGACCTAAATCGAGTGACATCTGCGTGTGGTTTGCAGCTTTGCAGCTCTTGCCTGAATTTTGGTGTTCCAAACTCTTCAAGGAGTTTTGTGGCACATCCATACTTTCATCGCTTTCATTTTGGATTCGTTTGGATCCCAGACTCCTAGGGGACTTTGTTTGGCTGACAGGTCCGGCACCTGGCGAGTCCATGTTGCCGAGGCGAGCCGCTTCACAGCCTTTCTGGTTGATGCCAGCTATTGTTGCGATTGGGACCATCCTTTGCTTTGCATGTTCTCACCTACCAACAAACTGTTCTGTCATTCCAAGACTCTTCGCTAAGCGCTATGTCGCTGATGTACTGAGGCTATCGCTCGAAGCGGTTCGTGAGGATTTGGATCAACGATGCGAGGATCAGGCGCTGGGGGGAGGTCAAGGATGGCTGTTGAGACCTGTTTGCAGCTTTAAGGTTGTAGATGTAGCTGGTCAGAGGACATTAGGGTAGGGGCAATACCCTGTGATCAAACAGACGAGGTGCCGAGTCGATATGTGCAGTGGATGCCCTGCGGTCCAGTGCATTTGCAGGTATCTTCGAGGTTGTTGGAAGAGGCAGAGGCACGGGGCACTTGAAGCCGACAGGGAGTATTTGGCCCCTGCACTGGTCGATTGGTGGATGATGTGGCTGGCCCGATAGATTGCCATGGGATTCCATCACCAGCCGGGCTGCTTGTGCTGTAGATCAGAAGGAACTACAAAAGTACAATTTATTTTAGGAAATTATGATATCTTATGATGGTATGACTCAACATCACCCTCTGAGATTTCCATCCAAAGGCTGTGGTGAGTTCAGTGTTGCCAGGCACAGGCAGGTTTGGATCATCGCTTGCCCTGGGCAGAACTTCTAGCCCCTTGGTTGATTTGGTTGTCGACCCTTCATCGATGAATTACTTCAGCAGCTTGTCGCCATTTGCGACCTTGGCCAAGGCAGTTCTGGTGCGCTCTGGCATCTCAAAGCAGTGTGTGGACTTGCACGGGAACCCAGCAATTAGGAACAGATTTCCTGAACTTCCTGATGTTAATTGACTATGCTGTACCAAAGTTCTTGACACGAAACGACGTGACGGATTCACCATTCTCAAATTGGCTTTCATTCGTGTTGAGAGCTGGGAAGCCCCTGCAATGCTTCGGTGTCCCGCTGCCATAAAGTTTGCTCAAGGAAGCAAGCCAGCAGGTCACCAGGGTAAGGGCCACCCTTTGTCCGTGAAATTCAGTCTCTTGCAGCATCGGGAGTTGATTCAAGTGGGGATCAAGTGGTCGGATTGAGGGTAGAGTTGAGTAGTTGCTCGGAAACTTTTCTTTGGAGTCCTACTGAGGATACTGGAAAGTGTGGCAAAATAGTCGCCTCTTTCTGCAAATGAGGAATTGCTGTAAGCTGCGGCTCTGAAACGTTTCACCGTCATCATCCATGCAACCAGCCCATTGTAGAGCATGTGTGCGTTTTGTTGCTCAGGAGCCACTGGAAGGAACGTACCAATGAGTTCAAACCACATCAAGTACTTGCCAGAGATTTACTGTTATTTCGATTTATTTCGATTTAGATGGCTTATTCGTGCTTATTCTACCTCAGCGTGCGCCTCGTGCCATGAGGATCATGTTCACTCGCTGGATGGTCTCTTTCGGCATCGTTCTTGGAGTTCAAGGAGTTGATGGGGTTCTCGCCGAGCAAATTGTTGGCTAGGAAAAGGTATGAAAAGAACATGGCCTTCTATGTTCTCCTGTAAGGAAAGCGCTTGCCCGAGAATTGCTCACATTTTCCGCAGCCTACTTGAAACACATCTATCTAGTGAGGCAGAATCATGCAAAATTTGTAGTATGTTGATTGTTCTCAAGAAGCGAGAGAGTTGGAGACCAAATGGTCAAACAGACAGCAGACAGCAATGTTTGCCATGACACCCTACCCTTGTCCCTTCTAGCTTCTGGGGCAGGATCAGAGCGTGGTGTACGCCGCCATGCACAGCCAGTTGAGTCGCTTGGACGCTATTGGGCGATTGGATCGATGGAAAAATATGGAATGTTATTTGTAAATCGACGTAATTTTAGTAATACTAATTGTCACACAGTATATAATTATACTATATAATGTCAATGAACCAGTGATCTGAATGTTACTATGTTGTAACAACGTAGTTGTGAACAGCTTCCAAAGGATTTTTGGTACATTTGTGTCCACATGAGTCCTTGGACCTCTGGCGGCGAGGTTGGAAATCTCAGCTTCAGGGGTGGCTAAGAACCAGATCTACATGCGGCGTGAGGCCAGCTATGAAGCTGAAGCTGCTACTGCTGAGGCGCAGCGCGCAGCAGCAAGGTTTCTGAGTTTGAAATCAATCAGCTGAAGGAAATAATGGGAAACCCTGAATGGAGGTAGCTCGTGCTTATCCTTTTCTGGTGTTCTATACTTACTCTACTTAGCAAGAATGAGTAATTATTCACATTATATAGAGCTAAAGTAGCACCATTGAAGACCGCTGGGTTGCGAGGAATCTTGAACCATCGAGTCACTCACCGGCGCCCTGAAGGCCCAAGATGACTGTACTGGCTTGAAAGTGGCAACGGCATGCTCCAATGCTGACGCCAGTCGGAACTGTTACGTCAGTGAAAGGTGATTTCCTTGCTTGAGTATTTCTGCGCCCGCTTATGACATCAGCCTACGCTATGGACCAATCCTTTTCATGTCCAGAATCCGAGGATGTGAATGCCTCAGCAGCATCATGTGAAAGCTACAAGGCACCAAAAGGCCGGACCATTGAAATCTTGCGTTTCCACACGTGGACGACTGGATTCGTTCGTGTCAACATCAAACAGACGATGAAATCCCATGTAACTCTATCCTTCTGCAGTGGGGTCTCTTGGATCCCAATGTATGCTGACCCAGATTTGTGCTAAAATCATCCAACATCATCCAATGTTGCTGCAGTTCCAGAGTCAGCCATAATTACAGGAGCTGCATTCTATCGCTGCTCGTGGAAGCGGTCTGTTCTGCTCTTGGTCTGGAATGCTGGCTTGTGACAGAAGTTGTAGCAACAAGGACATCACAGTAGTGTCTGGCACTGAGGAACCAAATCACGGTGATGAACCAGGAGTTCCTGCAGCGTGCCTTTTGGATGAGAAGGCACATTGACACTAGCCTTGTTGAAGGTGTGGAAGATGCAGCCTGAGAGGTATCTGACTCATCGGCCTGCTGAAACGTCTTGGTGTGGAAGCGGAGATTCCAACTTTTAGATTCAACAGATTCTAACATCGACAGTGGTAATGAAATGCCCCTCTTGGAGCTCAAAAAACAACTGGGAATCACCACAATCTTGTTGGGTGATGTTCAAGCTTATCCAAATGGTACATTTACATATATCTACCTCTGATGATTGGGTCAGATCCGCTCCATGTCAGGCAGGCGTTTGTGGTCGACTGGGAGACAGTTCCGTTACACGGAGCACCTGAGCTGGGAGTTGCCCTGCAGCAATTTATGCGAGAAATTGAAGATTGTTCAATTGTGTTGCAGGGGTTAGCTTGGGAGTAACCATTTCCCCCATTTAATTCGATGATTTACTCAGTTATGAACCTCCATGTAGCTTGGGGATGTCCCAGCCATGTTTGATCATCCCAAAAGGTACATCGGTGATTGGTGAAGTCCATGTGCTTTAGCCATTGGTTTTGCCTTAAGGCTGATGCGTCGAGAAGACTGAGATGCCAGCGGGTCCAAAAGAAGAGCGATGAGAAGTGAGGGACTTGACATGGACAAACAGAACCAAAAGTGTTCGAGGATATTAACCGCTGTAATCATTATTACTAACCATTATATAACCACTATAATCATTAATCACTATCAATAATCAATGTTTGAGGTACGGGATGAGGCCAGGACCTAAGGTTAATCGCCACCCCTGTCCTGTCGGGCTCAAACGTAGCTCCCTTTGATGTCCGCAAAACTCAGCAGCTCGGCTGGGGGTCATACTACTGAATAGATCTGAATAGATTGGGGGTTGTCAATAATTATCAATAATCCATGAACTGGGAATCCCATGGAACCCCCCTACGAACCATTGGGGGATTTTCCAAAAGGCCAACTTTTGGTCATGTTTTGGGAGTCTCCGAGTCAAGCCAACCGAGGGATGATCCGACTACTTCTTGGGATCAGCCTCTTTGTTTCGGCGAACGGCTCCTTGGTCAATCCACCGCGTGGGGGATGGGGCGCGCAGCTGGACTGGTTGCTGGCAGTTTTTGTTGCGGGATGGACCGAAAAGCACGAATGGAAGAGGCCTCTCGTAGGACTTTGTTCCTCAGGATCAGCAAATGGCCGTTAGTTGTGGGGCCACGAGGCGGTGTGTATCACATGTCCGCAAACGAAAGAACGTAGTTAGGTGCCTTGAGTCCTCCGATTCAAAGGGCCACTGTGGCGTGCTGCTACTTTTTGGGCAACACGAATGACTGATTGTGACTGTGGGTCGGATCTCCAGAATAACTCGCTGTTTGAGGCAAAGCTCTGTACAGACTTTGGTGAAGCACTAGCAGGACTGAGACAGGAATAAGGTCCAAAAAGCACGGCACGCCCTCACATGTCACAGTACTGCTCAGGGCTCATTGCCATTGTTCTTCACGAACAGCCATGGTCTCTGATATGAAGCTTTCATGAGTGTTTCACCGTATTTGTTGCAAGACACTTCTATTGGGAAAACAAAAGCCCACACACAAAACAATCACCCCCCAAAAAACTGATGTTGGGACATCTTCGGGTGAGGGATCGGAGTCGTAAGCAGGAAAACCATGGAAAACACCTTGGACAACATACAAAACAACACACAAATAACCAGAAAAAACAGAAACGCAGCAAACCAACACACGAACACAGAACCTTTTTTTTTGCCGGTTGTTTGCGGTTTGTTCTCTTTGATTATTTTTGATTTTTGATATTTTTTAGTTACGTCCCTGCTTTGGAGTCTGTATGGGGTTTATGAATCACAACACTTATATATGTATATATATGTATATCATATACTTGCATCTATGGAAATGGAGAATATTCTAAAAAATGTGGCCAATCTAGATGCGATTGAAGTCATTCTATAGGCCTGCCTAGGCTACAGGATGAAGCAAACATCGTATCACCGTGAAGCGAGAGCATTGCCTAATCAACTCAGGTGCAACCGCTAGACATGCGGGAAAGCAACGGCGCCCTGCTTGCACTGGTAGCCTTGATGTCTCACATTTCTGTAGGGCTCCTGGGGCTCCTGGCGTGGCCAAGGGTATTGGCAAAGTAGCAGAAACACTTCATGTCATCATCTCATCAGCATCCTTGGACCAGAGATTTGGCAGGAGTTTTGCCTAGCTTTGGTGCAGAGCTGTACACAAAAAAACAAGCAGAGACTATGTATATATATATATATTTGTGCAGGTGATGAACTTGAGGGAAAGTAGAAAGACAAGACCTTGACCTTGATAGTTCTTCAATTTGGTTTGAGGTTTGCCAGCTGTCAGTGTTTATAAGATTGAAGTGGTAAGCACTGGAGATTGTGTGAAGGCACGTTCTGTCTGAAAGCAACTGATTCTGGCTGCTTCTCCTTTACTATTTGTATTGTCACACTACTTGTTCGCACTTCATTAGCCAGTTGAGTGGACCAGTTCCCAAACAACTATCTAGCTCTGCCAGAAGCCTTTGAGAAGACTTCCGACGTCGAGACCGGCAGAAATTTGAGCATCGTTTTGATTTGACTGAGGGTGGCTGTGGCTTCCGACGGCCTTGAGGGTGGAGTTCTGCTTCGCAGGGAGGTGGAGGGTGCACCGATCCAGGCAGCAGATGAGACGAGAGGACGGTCGGGTTATTGTTGGCTAGTCGTGGTATCCGAAAATGTGCCATGATCAAAAGTTGGATGGTCATTCCCCTATGAAATCCTATGAATAGGTGTTGATGTACTCATTTATGATGGTAGGACCATACCCTGTACCTAACATGTGATTTGATCATGTCACCTGCTGGGAAATCCTTCGCCTTGGCCTACTGAGCTGCTGGGATGTCAGCGCTATACCATCTCACATACATCATCTTGATATGCTGTTGAAAGGTTGTCTCACAATTTGAAAGCTCCAGCCCCCAATTCTTTATCATCATTTTCCCCCACCATTTACAGGCATACCGTTGATACCCAGTTCTTACAGACTTGCCGAGTGTTCTGCTCAGCGGTCACTGCTGAGCACAGGATCTGAACAGACGATTCTAGGCACTTCAAGGGCCGATTGCACAGGACCCCTGAGACTGCCTCATGCTCAGCTCAATGCTCAGCTCGCGGGGAAATTCATGGGAAACTCAAGGGTATACCGAACCTAATTTTACGAGTTCGGATTCATATTAACAGTTATTCAGTGACATCATAACTAGCAAACATAATCTGTATAAACAAGATCAGTAGTAGCTATCCTCAACAATAACAATCAATGATAGTAGTGGTTAATGAGAACTACCATTGTTATTTACCATGCCCCCAAAGTGGCGAGTGGCTTCACCACCGTATTACGACATTTCACGAAAGGTAGCCTAGGCTACCTGAGTTCTATGTACTTTAGTACTAGTTTAGTACTGGGGGAGGTGGATGTTCCTTTCCCGGAAATTGAGACCCGAGAGTCACGAACGGAGACTTAGGGGGGGCCCCCCCCCCCATTCGATTCCCCCCTGGTCCGCATGTCTTTGTTTCTTTTTCTCTGACTATGTACGTACCTCCTTATCCATCTATCTATCCATGTATCTATCTATTTAGTCGCTATCGATCTATCTATTTATCGATCGATGCTTCTGTCTGTCTATCTATCCATGTATCTATCTATTTAGTTGTTTATCTATGTATCTATCTATCTATCTATATCGTTCTATCTCTCTATCTATCGATCTATCTATCTATCTATCCATCTGTTTACGTATCTAGTTATCAATCTATCTATTTATCTATCGATCGATTTAGTTGTTTATCTATGTATCTATCTATCTATCTATCTATATCTTTCTATCTCTCTATCTATCGATCGATCTTTGTATCTATCTCTCCATCTATCGCTCTATCTATCTTTTTACTTATCTATTTATCTATCTATCTATTTATCTATCGATCGATTTATCTGTGTATCTATTTATATCTATCTATCTATTTATCTATCGATCGATTTGTCTGTCTATCTATTTATCTATCGACCCCCCGTCCGCATCTCTTTCTTTCTTTTTCTCTGACTATGTACTTACCTCCTTATCCATCTATCTATCTATGTATCTATCTAGTCAGTTGTGTATCTATATATATCTATTTATCTATCTATTCTTTTATGTATCTATCTATCTACCTATCGATCTATCTATCTATCTATCTATCTATCTATCTTTTTATCGATCTATGTAGCCGTCGATCTATCTATTTATCGATCGATGCTTCTATCTGTCTATCTATCTATCCATCTATTTATTTTGTTTTCTTTCTATCTATCTATTTATCTATATCGTTCTATCTCTCTCTCTATCTATCGATCTATCTATCTATCTATCCATCTATCTATCCATCTATTTACGTATCTATTTATCTATCTATCTATTTATCTATCGATCGATTTGTCTGTGTATCTATTTATACATACATACATACATACATACAGACAGACAGACATACATGATGTAACATAACATAACATTATATGACTTAGTGTGAAAAAACATTACATCACATACATACATACATACATACATACAGACATACATGATGTAACATAACATAACATTACACGACTTAATGTGACATAACATTACATCACATTACATAACATTACATTCGTACATACATACATACATACATACATTCATACATACATACATACATACATACAGACAGACAGACAGACAGACATATTTACAAACATGCATGGATACAAAGGAGTTATCTGGTTAGTGGCCATAGTCAACTGGCCCCATGGTCTGCAACATACACCTAGAATCCTTTCTCGGGCATTGTAGAAGGAAAAAAAAAATTACGACCGAGTTTTTCTACTCCGCTCACAAACTCGGTCGTAATTCTGTGGGGCATTTGTTGGCTCTGAATTCGTCACAGCCAAGCAAGAAAGCAACACTGGACACGTCATACCACTTATAATGTTTCATAGCTCTGGTTTACTAAGTCATCCAAATGGACTGTCGTCTATGTACTTGGCTTACACCCCCAGTTACCAATAAATATAACCCCTCTATCTATCTATCTATCTTTCTATCTATCTATCTATGTATCTATCTATCTATCTATCTATCTATCTATCCCCCCCCCATTCGATTCCCCCCTGGTCCGCATGTCTGTGTTTCTTTTTCTCTGACTATGTACGTAACTCGTTATCGATCTATCTATCCATGTATCTATCTAGTTCGTCGCTATCGATCTATCTATTTGTCTATCGATGCTTCTGTCTGTCTATCCATGTAT